TAAAGAACGACCATCTCTCTATTGCGTATAACGAGCCCTCAAAACGTCCCCAACACAGCATAAAGCGTTGAGAAAAACTTCTCTTTAACAGCCATGTGGCCACACCCATCACTTAGACCGGATGTTTTCATCATTTAATGTCACGTGTAGCCCCACCCATCTAAATAAAATGGCTCAAAACTTGAGCATGCCCTTTCTTCTGGCTGTACTTCACTTATTTTCCCTGCTACATCTTACATACTACCTGCAGGATCTTAACCTGAGGAATGAATCAAGGTTTATTCTTTCTCCCTGTCTATTTTATGTTGAAATGTAAAGTTAAATAAATAAATAAGATACTTAAGAAGGCAACACAGTTAAATATCTCTTAAGTTAGACACCTTAAACTGAAACCCCTTAATAAAGACCACCCCTATATAACAGCCAAAGGACCAGTTCCCAATGGTGACCGTTACAAGCAGGTTCCACTATATGATATGCATAATATATGTTAGTACTGAATATGATCAATTACAATTATCATTCCAGGGCCCCATTTTGTGGTCACACTTACTTTGTATGAACATGCCCAATGTCGAGTACAATAGCTCCTTTATCTTGAGGAACAAGATTTCCCCTTACACGACTCGAAGCTAAAGAACGACCTGCTGGAGAACTTACAGTTCTTGTCACACGAGCAGACATCTTTAATTTGAATCACGTGATGGCTTATTCAACTATACCACGCCTACTTTTAAAAGCCAAGCTACTAATTTTTTCATCCAACATCATGGTTGTTGTTATTAAATTTTGTGTAGTAATTATTTTTGTCTCTAGTAAGAGAAAATTATCACTTTGGCATAATGAAACAAATGTATCTATCTCAAATAGGCCCCTGGCTTTGTAGTGTAAGTTTATGAATGAAGTGTGAGATTCTAACTTGTAGTTTTGTAGTTCAGTACTGATACACAGTCCCACTTCCATCAGTCAGAATGATAACATTTTAGTCCATGGTGCAATCTTACCAAAGAAATGAATGGTAATTAATCAATTAAATTTCAGTGTTAATGATAATATAATGAAGATTTTGCATGTATATTAGCAATACAATGTAGCTCTTGATAGTAGCAAATGTACATAATGATTCTGGAAATTGACACTAAATCCTATATGACCTCTTTTGCTTGCAACAAATGTTGCATGGTGTAAGTTGGGCTTAAGACACAAGTAAACGAGACACTAAAGGTGTGCATGTCCTCGCATCTATAGGTGTCTGGAAGATATCAGCTAGACAATTTACATGTAAATTTGGAAATTTGTATCAAAAGTGTATGATGGGACTAGCAGTCCTAGTCCCTTCAAGAATTTGTGATGTGTGTTACATATACATGTACAAATTGTTTGTCACCTATTTCCATACAAATCCACTTGCTAGCTTTTATTTTTATTTTACATAATTTTTTGCTTATTAAGAACTAAACAGGTGTTTATGAATTGAGCAAATACTCATTATGGTACATGCTTTGCTTTGAAACTTTGAAAAATTAGTTTTTAAGATTTTGCCATGTTACTGTTAGGAGACAATTGTTTTGGGGTATTCAATTTAGCAAATTTGAGCAATTTTCTAAAAATATTGCTAACTTAAGTTCATGCTAACTTTAATCTATAATTAAATTAGTAATAGTCATTAATATTAAATGATTAAAATGCTAAATTAAATACCAGCCAAATGTCAGTGTCATGAAAATCACTAAAATAAGTATGCACTAATAATTGTCTCCTTATGGTAGTACAGGGTCTTTCGCAACAATTTATAAAAAGTTGTTATGAGAGGATTCACCTCTTTTATGCATTTTCTGATTTTGATCAAAATAGGATTTTTACTTTTAATTAATACAAAAGTACATGTACAAGTGCATGTTAATGCTATTTCTCTCCCCTTCCCTCCCTCTTTCCTTGTTTCTTCAGAATCTCATCACCAGTTGATAGTACTTGTTAATCCTAGTTCTATAGTGTATTAGTTAATGGAAAAGTTATTAGAAAAATATACTTATCAATTATTAGGTAAATAGATAAAATAGCAATAATTATTTAGAAATATGATTTGTCTAGATTGCATTCAGTGTACTGCAAATTAAGTTATATCTGAGAAGCAAGCACCTGTAGTTTGATAAAGTGTTGTCAGTGTGTTTTTCACACTTGTATGTAGTACTACAGTATGTAGCACATGCATGTAAATTCAAGTTGCTTGCAAATTTTCTTTTAAAAATGTGAAATAACAAACATTATGATAACAACAACATTATCATTAATTTATGTGTTGGTAGAGCTGAGTTTTTAAAATTTTCTCAGTGACAGCACAACATACATGTATATCACTATAGAAAATGTATTAATTCTTATAACGATAATTTTTGAATAGCAAGTATGCATGCATGGTTACTGGTTAAGTACATGTAAGTGGTTATACATATACATAATAGGTTGTGCTATATGGTATTTCAGTGGTGCTACCAGCATACATTTATCATGTATTTTTTCAAATTATAACTTTAACTTGTTTATTATTTGAACTATTTTAATGTGATAGCCATTAGATATTTTAATTTTTAACATCTCATTAATAATAATTTTGTATACATGTGAAATGTACATGTAACTATGTATTTTTGGAATTATATGCATCATAATAATAAGTTGTTTATTATGAATTTTATAAATTCATGTTTCCCACTTGTTTCTATGGTAAAGCCAGGATTCATTATATACTATCATAACTTAATACCTTTGAATATATTTAAGGTATCACCCACTTTTTGTTCTCTCTGAAGCTTCTTTTCCTGCCTTTTTCATTTTTTGTTGCTACATTAGGACTCTCATCATCACTCATTTGCTCCATCTCTGTCTCGTCTTTCTGCTGCATCCACTTCGATTCATCCTCTTTCGTTTATTCTTGCACTATCTTCTGATTTTTGTTCTTGCATATACACTGTTTTGTCCTTCTCATAAAATGGCAACCAAACCATCATCTTCTCCTGGTCTCCTCAAACTGGAGGAACAGCTCACTTGTCCTGTGTGTCTTGATCACTATACCAATCCTAAGGCTTTACCTTGTCTACATTCATTCTGTCAGCACTGTCTGGAGGGATTACCTCTGGAAAAGAAGAATGAAACCTATTACCTCTCTTGTCCCACTTGTCGTCATTGTACAGTGTTACCAGAAGAAGGAGCACGAGCTTTTCCAGTAGCATTCCTTCTCAACAACCTTGAAGAAATGTACATTCTGACAAAAAAAACAGCCGATGAGGCCTCATACACTTGTAGCGATCATGGAAAACCTTTAGAGCTCTTTTGTGAAACATGTGATACAGTTATCTGTTCCCATTGCTCAGTTCGTCATCACAAACATCATGAACACAACTTAATCATTGACAGCTATGCTAAACACTGTCAAAGGTTGAGAGAATGTCTGTCACCAGTCGAGGGAAAGATGGAAGCACTCAAGAAAGCCCTTTCGGCACTAGCAGTTAGAGAAGGTGAGATCAGAGAGAGAGGAGAAAGAGTTTTAGGAGAAATACATAATATGGTAGAAGAAATAATTATTGTTCTTCATCAGTCAGAATGGAAACTGACTGAGCAAGCAAAAAGGGTCACCAATGCTAAACTCACAAGGCTGTCAGAGCAAATTAAATCAGCAGAAATGAGTTTGAGCCTTCTTGAGGATGTTGAAGACTTTGTGAAACAGAGTCTAAAGACTGACAGTCCTGAACAAGTCCTGAAGTCTAAGAAACAGATGATGGAGCGTGTGAGTGAAGTTACTGCTCAGATCAATCTAGAGAAGTTGCATCCAAAAGAAAAAGCTGATTTTGTACTAAGTAAAGATATCTATGTCAACTCATTAAATCACATTGGAGATCTTGTGCCACTAAAGCAGTGTAGGGTGAGGAACATTAATCATATTACACCTTCAAACAAAACAGTTTCATTTTCATTATCAATTGAAGCACCAGATTCAACTCTTTTGACTGTTCCCCTGGCTTCTCTCAGATGTATTTTAGTTCCAGTTGGTAAAGGTGATCAATCCATTTATACTACAATCACTACTACTAGTACTGATCCTGGAGTGTATAGCATACAGTGTAACCCTTCAACCAGTGGCACTCATACAATAAAAGTACAAGTATATGATGTACAACTTGAAGATACCTCATTAGTCATCCCTTTCAATCCTTACCTTGATAACATCACTCCAATATGTACAATAACTGAACTTAACCGTCCCTGGGGACTTGCTGTAAATGATGATAATCATGTTATAGTAACTGAGACTAATGGTAACTGTGTAACATTGCTTGACAAAAAAGGAAGGAAAGTCAAATCATTAGGAGGGAAAGGAGGAAATGGAACCGTTAAGTTTACTCATCCTTGTGGTATAGCCATTACTCCAGATAACTTCATTCTTGTATCTGATGATCACAAAATCCAAAAGATAAGCATGGATGGATATTGTGTAGCATCAGTTGGTAAGGAGGGCAGCAAACCACTTCAGTTCAAGTTTCCTGGTGGCATAGCCATTTCCCATATAACAGGACAAGCTTACATTGCAGATTATGGAAATCATCGTGTACAAATCTTGAATCCTGATTTAACTTTCTTTCATTCATTTGGTTGTAAAGGTGCAGCCAATGGACAGTTTCAGTCACCACGTGACATTGCTATTGACAGTCAAGGAATAGTCTATGTTACTGATTATGATAATCATCGCATTCAAAAGTTCTCTCAGAATGGAAAGTTTGTGGGCCAGTTTTGTACGTATGGATCTAATGCAGGACAGCTTAATAGTCCATATGGTATAACAATAGACACTGCAGCTACTGGTCTAGTGTATGTTAGTGAATTGGGCAATCCTTGTATTGCGGTCTTCACTAGGGAAGGTATTTCTGTTAGTAGGTTTGGAATTTTTAGTAGTAGTATTCATCAATTTTTTTGTCCTATTGGATTAGCATTTGATAAAGATGGAGTTTTGTATGTCTGTGATCGTATTAATGACCGACTTGTTGTTTATTAAATGTTTATTCTTATTGTGTTTCAAAGTTTTCAAGATACAGGTTTGAAGTTTAAGTGAAGTGGAACCCAGGCTTTTGACTTAGCAAACATACATGCACTGTAAAGCTTATAAAATATCTCCTAAAACATCTTTACATGGTCTTATACACATTTTGATGTTCTTATTGAAACTGTTATAGAAGGTGATGCTAATCCTTATGTATCAGTTAGTAGTAAAAGTGAGGATTCAGTTATTGTGACTTAAGATGCAACTAAGGACATATAAAAATTATGCATATACTACATACATACATGTAAAACTAATTGTAGTAGATTATTAAGTAATTAAAATAATACTTGCATGATATTTTAATGATCCAGTTTGTGAATCTGTCTCCATGGCGTTACATTATCTCTACAAATTTCTACATCCAACAGTTTAGTACTATGTGCTCGGATTTATTAATATAAGGATATCTGGACTATTGCTAGTACTGACATTACTTCGATGCTGGAGTTGAATTTGGTTCGATTCTAGCATAATTAAGCATGATTCACAAGCTCAAATCACCCACGCTTTTGATTAAATTTGATGGTACACTGGCATTGTTTCTTCAATGTATGTAATTTTTCTTTAGCCATGTATGTTAAGAAATGTATGAATTTAGATAACACATCACAATTATTAGCAACAGTTGCAGTACACAGGCTTAACATTATTTGACTTCAATAAAGAAATTTTTGACAAAAGTAATTTCTGAGCCTGAGGTTGGTTTTGTTTTCTGAAACTAGCAGTAAACAACTAAATGGCATCATTGTGCAGTCTTGCAATATTTGCAGTAATTATAGCACACTTTACATTCAATAAAATAGGCACTACTGTTTATCTCCTTGATAGTATAATTTCATAGCATTGGAAGGTACCTTGGTCATTTATTCTAATAATTAATACAGGCATTACAGTGGTGCAGTAATATATTTGCTTGAATGTACACAAGATCAAATCTGTTTCTAAAAATTAAGGCATCTGTTGAATCATGAGAGGCAGAGGCCAACCACAGCCCACTGGGCACCAGGCCTTTGTGTCAGTGACACTCATGCCCTTAAAATGGCACCCAGTGTAGGCATTAGAAGACTGATCAAGAAAACTTTTGCAGTAGTAGTAAATACTGTAACTGACTCTCAATATCAATAATAAGACTACAAGGTATTATCATAATGCTACCTTTAAATTAAACTTTTTATTAGCACCTAACCAGTCATTACAAAGTAGAACAGAATCTGTGAATTTATTGAACGATGAGCTTTTTCACAATCTTATCTATGCAAAGGCATGACCCAACAAGTCAGTAATTGCAACATTTATTGCATGAGATAAAATCTGCCAAGAGTTGTATGTACACATCATGCTTACATATAGTTGTAAATCAAGGAATGTATGGCTATAAATTGGCACACTGATGTATCTATTTTTAAGACATATAATCAGGCAAGGTACACTCTTTGATTTTATGACAAATATTGATATTTATGTGCTATCTAGAAAGTTTGAGCCAATTCTGATAAGACTTTCAAGTTATGTCGCACTATTTAAAAGTATCAAATTTTGGAAGGCCTATATACCCCAATTTTTGCATTTTTATGCATACTTATGTAGAAAGTTTTATGTAATTCTAACTAGAATTTTTTGAGTTTTAGACTTTTAGTGCTTTTCAAAAGTAGCAAATTTCTGAAAAAGCCAGTGATATTTTTAATGGTTAAAAAATCATCCGCAATTTTAATTACACTTTCTGATTTCATATTGATATGCTAAGATTTGATCCTAAACATAATTTGTCAAGATATGAGCATGTGACATACAGCTAGTACAAGTGTAAGCACATGCATATGTATACAGAGATTTTTATTCATACACAGATTTTATGACTGAAAGCTGGCCTAAGGCCAAATACATGATCTTGAGCCTAATTTTTTTAACAGGAGAAAATTATAATCTTTCCTGGTACACACATGTTCTAATGATATGTATTAATTAAACTTTTATAAATAATTAAAGTTACTGTAGGTACATTGTATATGCACCGTAATGCAGTGCTTATCAGCTCATGAAGTGTGCCATTTAGCTCACTTAGTGGAGACCCTGATTACATGTGAATGTAGTTCAAACTTATGCATAACACTGCATTCTGTCCTCAAAAAACATATGAACTTTATGTATATAGGCAGATCAACAAGTTTTAACTTCACATATTAACTATTATGGGTAGAATCCATACATCTTCATATCAAGGATGTTATTGTGATAACTATGAGTAGCTAACTTATACTTACAATGTATTACAAATTTTATGGTAGACTTGTAGTAACAATAATTTTTAGAATGAGGCTAATACAGGTAGAGAATTCAGTGGAGTAAAACTTTTGCAAATTTGGTGAATTGAGGTCCATTCGCCAAATTTTTAGTCTCCATTTTGATAAGGCTCCATAGAAGCATACACAGAGTTAAAGTTTCACCAAAATTTTAACCTTCAAACTTCTTTTAGAGTCAATTCGCCAAATTTTAGCACTCCAAATTTTCTAGCTATACGGTAATTGTAATTGCATGGAGATCTTCATTATAGAGAGTAGTTTTACTCAATAAAGGAATAACAGTTGATATTCAATTTAAAATAGTATTTCGAAATCATTAAAACATATTGTGAAAGAGCAATGGCTTTGAATTTGAAACAACTCACAGTGCTGTAATTTAGGCTTGGCCCGACAGAGCCACTTGAGTGTGTTAATGTGATACCAGTGGTTGCTGGACAACTAATAACTGTATATCAGAATAAATTTTACTCCATATAATACAAAACATCCATCCAGTTACTATTGTATGCATGTAATTAATTTTTCTTCTTTTTCCTCTTTATGGTACTTTTACTTTCTTTTTTTTTCTCTTAGTCAAGACATTCTAGTAATAACACAACAAGCATAATGCAATGTATTATAACATTTTACAAGTATTTGTATGTATCTATCCTTGTTATATTCTGTATTAAGCCTCAAATAAAACATAAAATAATAATATTGTGCATATATTGTAAATACATGATGCATAATTTTAATGTCCTTATACAGGTACATCTTTAGTATGCTCTTACTCATTAACAATAGACATGTGTCAATAAGTGAGCTAAGAGCATCAGAAAAATGGAATGCTAAAAACAGTCACATATTAACGTTCATAGACTACGTTCCTGACTGCCCTTAGCTTTTTCCGTTCTCCCACTCCTTTCTCCTGCTATCTCCCTGTGTCTCATGCTATCTCCCTTAGCCTAAAGGGAGACTCTGTGTTATCTGAATTGTTTCATCCATGCACAAACTGGACCAACATTATGAATCACAATTGCTCATTTAAAACGAACATTAATAATAGGATACAATTATTACAATGTCAGTAATATTTTATTAATGAGATAGAAAAATTATTACATTATAACAGCAATGCTGACAATGAATAAACATGACACTAGCAGTGAGGAATGATTATATTTTAGTACAATATTTTGTTTTAATGTAACTAGCAATAGATTTTTCTCCTACTGTATCCAGTGCTCTAGCTAATGATGACCAACTAGGACCTCCTTTCTCTCTCACTTTATCTTTTTCTCTTAACCAGGCAGACATACATTGTATCAGACATTGCTTGCACTCTCCATGATCCTTCTTAATAGAATTTAGCGTTTGATCATATAATCCTAAATGAAGCCCAAACTGATGCCAGTTTGAATATTCTAAATGATTGAGTAATAGCTCTTCAATGACAATATCAAGATCTTTTATATCTATAAAAATAATTATTATACACATAAATTCTCTTGAGTAAGCATATCAATACATAAAAACATGTACATGTAACACTCCCACTACTTAGCAGTTGTGAGAAGAAACATACCTAGCTTTATCCTGGTTATGATGGTATTAGATTCTTCAGCTATTTCAATCACTTCCTATGAGACATGGGGTCAAATACATTTTGTATTTCATTACGAGTGCAATTATTAGTAATAATAACGAATGCAAATACAATTGCTAAGTAATGTATTTTAATTACATTGCAATTACAGTCGAGAGTTGTAATTTAAATACTTCATGCTTATTACATTATAGCACAACGTTACTAAAGAGCATTAGTTCTTCAAAGCATTTATCAAACAGGCTGCCTGTACATTATCTACTCTTGACTATACACATAAAGGTACATTATGTACATGTACATAATTATTAAACCTACATGTACATATGGTAGTAATTTGACAATTACCGTGATGACTTTTAGGGTAATTATAAGCCATTACATCTCCTTTTAGATTATAAGTACCATTGTGATTGCAATTACTCAAAAATAATTCAATTCATTAAAATGGCAATGTATTGACCCCAACCCTGCTTCCTATGCGTAAAAATAAATCTAGTAGTCAGCACAGTGATATTCTAAATATTTAATGTGATGTACACATGTACATACTGAAATGGGATTTAAAATTTGAAATTTTTATGATAATTAGTTTTTGACTTATCACTTGTATAAAAGTAAACAGTGAGTGTTACATGCATATACCTTAATATCGCGTCCTCCTAACAGTGACAGGTGACTAGATGACAATGATTCACAGGGTAGAATCCTCTTCAATTTTGTATGCCTAATACCAGTAGCATTAACTAAAAAGTCTTCTCTCTTGTACAAAGCAGAAAGTATGTCTTTTACACTATACATTGTCCTTTCTCTTGGTATATTCACAGGATAGGCTAGTTCCTTAGGATCAATAACTAATTCTTTTACATTCAGACTGGGACAGGATTCTTTATAAACATTCATTACCTCTCCTATCACATCTCTTCTTAAAGATACCATATTGTCACTGTATCCTTTTTCACAGGACATCAATACTAGTACACACTGGCTCTCATCCACAACCTCTACCAGTGATCCTACACCATGACCATTAAACCAATAAAGTCCATTCTTCCAAAATGTACAACGTCGCTTTAACTTGTCATCTTCTTGAGGTTGAGCCATTTTAAACACAAGATGTAACGAGAGGATGTGAAAGTATCGAGGAGGGAAAAAATCATGTTTTCTAGTACACTGTAAAAACCAACCAAATCGGTACGCTTGGCTAGTCATCTCCTTAGGTTTATCACTAGACAAAAGACATGGGAAAAACAGCAACCTTTCTCCTCTTCTTTGTCCCTCTGAGGGACTATCTCCTGTCTCCTCTCTATCTTCAGCTACTAAGTTTGTCGTTCTTAGAAAAGATGGGTCCAATTCTTGACAAAGTTCCATGTTCTTCAGGAAACAAACCAACATGTCAGGATCATATTTAGGGAAAAGTCTAGTCAGACCAGACATACTCATAATACTAGTATTGCTAGCAATGTCAACATGCTCTTTGAATGTCTCTGGAGCAAAAAGAATCCCATTCACCTCAGTTAGTAGTATACCCTTATTCACAACAACCCATACCTTCTCTTCACTTTCAAAAACTTGGGCCAAGCAAGTTGAATCTAATAAATAAAGAGCATCCAAGATGTCTTCTTTCTTATCTGATAAATTGTATTTGTTGTTCTCCTTAGTAGCAGACATTATATCAGAGAGGGTCAGTACATTTTCTTTCCTTTCCTCTAGTAGGCCATACATCATGTGACAATATAGACTCAAATTCTTTCCACTTAATGTACTACGAACAGAATTACATGCAATAGACAGAATAATAAAGAAAGAATTTAGATCATTCCCACCAAGCTTACGACAATCTAAAGAGACACTCTTAAACCTTTCCCTTACAATAATCTCTTGTAATTTTTCAAGTCTTTTTCTCCGTTCCTCAGGGTTGCTTACAGCATCCACATGACTGACTATTACAATGACATGGCATTGATTAAGAGCTTTTTGTGTTTCATTTCTCACAACTGCCAGCCACTGATGAAGCTGTTTGACTGCTTCCTTCTCCAATATATTGACTACTATCAGGAACACACCTCCAGAACCTCGTAACAGATTCTCAATAACAGCACTGTGACTTGAGTAGTATTCTGAATGACCAGCAAAATCATGAAGAATGATGTTACCCAGTGCTCTGTGTTGTAGTTTATAAGGAATAATACCAGCAGTACAGGGCACTACTCCTTTAACATTTCTAAAGGAACCAAGAACAATAGAACCAGTAGCTGTGTCATTGACAACATGACTAAGAGTGCTTTTACCAGCTCCTGGATTACCCAAAAGAAGAACATTAACATAAGAATCAATAGGATGAGATATCTTAATGTCACCAAACTTCTTGAAGATAGCAATCATAGCTGATCTATTATTATTCAAATAATGTTCTTTAGCTAGCTGTAATGGTGTCTTTCCCTCATTGTCTTTCACCAAAGGATCACATTTTCCAGTTGACAAGAAGAATTCAATAACTTCAGCAATGCCCCAATCGGCAGCATAATGAAGAGGTGTTCGTCCATGCTTATCAATGACCGTCACATCACAGGTACAGTCATTTATGAGGTAATTTATTACATTTAGATGTTGAACGGCACAGTGAAGAACAGTCTGTCCATAACTATTACGATATTGTTTATCCATTACATGACCATTGATGTTCATGACCATACATTTCAAAACATCAAGTAATCCTTTTTTAGCTACATAATGCAGTAACGGTACTGCTTTACCATACTCAGTCAAAACCATGTTCATTGGATCACAATGACACTCTTTAAGAAGATACTGAACTATAACGACATGATTACCCTTCACAGCTGTATAAAGACAGCACTCATCATTATAGTAGTAATTAGCAGGACTAAAGTGATAAATATTTACTAGGTCTCTTGTAACATCTAACCAACCATTACTCATGGAATGATGAAGCAGGCCAGGCTCCCACTGATAAAGTAGGCTACTAGGATCCTGTAAATGTAGAAGCCGAACAGCCTCTTCGTGATCTCTTCTTTCAAATGCAAGCTTACATTGTTTTTGAGCTAGTTCATATCCTTCCATTCGTTAAATTTATTTCTTCTCAAAGGCTCGTCAAAGATTACTCAGTAATTTCAGGCCCATCGAGTTAGACCAGACTGACGAAGGCCTGGAATGAGACCAAGGGGTGATTCCAGATCACCCCTCCATAAATTGTGATAGTCTAGATTCTTTAGATTTATTGCAGCCAATAATTAAATTTTTATCTGATGGGACAAAATTTTAGCTATGATACTAAGGTATACACACATCTGCAACTTGTTTGTGGTAATTAGATCTACTCAAGGAAACTTATAAAGATCTGTTTGAGTCGAGTTGCACTCGAGGTGACACTGCATGGAACCAGGCTGAGAGAACCTGATCTATAGTGTGCAACGTGCACTGATCTCAAAGTTGATGCCGGACTGATGTGGTATATTTAGATGTGGTGTCACAATTTTGAAACACTCAAACACAAAATAATAACAATAATAACATCATTATTCTTCAATCATCATAGACTATTAATATTACCGCATGAAACTTTTTATTTTTCTCATATCAAAAATAACACACTGGAATTAATAATAATTTACAAAATTTAATAATAATTGATTTTAGTCTCACAAATTACTTAGAATCTAGTCCTGCTTTAGTTATTCTTGGCTGAGCTCCCGCACCAAGATCAGCATCACGCTGTCTCATGAGATCTACAGCTAACTAAAAATATAATATTATTATAAAAGTTTTCACAAGTATACGACAACCTCCACACTATCTTTATGAGCAAATTCAATAAAGGCATAATTTGCCTTTGCAAAGCTGGCCTTTCTTTTCTTGTGTTTTCCAATCGTCACATTAACAATTGCACCACACTTTTTAGTATAAAAAAGTTTCTGTGGAAAGAAAAATGCTTGACAACAATAAATTGAGATAAAAGCTATTCACAAGGTGAATAGTTAAAACAATACAAGTCAAAACACGAGTCAAAAGTGACGTTAGTAATTAACTAGAAAGAATGTAAAACATTGAGGGGCTCCGCCTCCAGACTGCACCTCCCAGTCACACCCAGACGTACGTTCAAGCCCAATAATTTCCAATGGCAGTTCTGTATTTTTAAGATTAATTGTGGGGGTATTAAATGGCTCTGCCTCCAGACCGCACATCCCAGTCACGCCCAGACGTACGTTTAAGTTCTTGTAAGTAAGGGCTTCGCCCAATAATTTCCAATGGCAGTTCCGTATTTTAAGATTAATTGCGGGGGTGTTAAATGGCTCTGCCTCCAGATTGCACCTCCCAGTCATGCCCAGACGTACGTTCAAGTTCTTGTAAGTAAGGGCTTCGCCCAATAAATGCAGATACCACATAGTCGGAAAACTTGGCAGAGATTAAATTTGGTGGATTTTTAGTTCAAAATAAACAGCCAATAATTACTACAAATCAAGAAAATATAATTTCAATTCTAATGCATCATGAGTTGTAAGCAATACTTATACAGATAACTGAAAGAAAACAGCACTTTTAAAGTATTTCAGTGATTAAGTCAGGATTGAGGGCAACACTCCAGCATAAAAAGACAGCAAGATTCAAGAAAAGATGAGGTCATGAGGATATACAGTGTACTTCAAGAATAAAAGGCAAGATAGCAACTCACCAAATTAAGAGTTTGCCAATATTATAATTAGGGAATTCATACCACAGCACAGGTACAAATAATTTTTGAGAGCCTATGTTCCGTACTAAGCTTTAACTTTGAGGTGGTTAAACATTGTTTTCTACAAATATGCCTATACTCAAGGTGTGGTTAATATTGGGCACCATCAATGACATTCTTTTATTATATTTTACAGCATAAACTTATGTTTTAGTGCCTGTGTGTCAGCAATTGGCTTATAGGACAACAAAAATACTTGCACACTTCATAAGTACACATGCTGCACAGTCTATTAATATTTTGACACCACACATAAAATTTGTACACACAATATACTGTCCATCTGGAAATTTTTACTGTGATTTATATTTTACTGTATTAGAATTTTGCAAAAATTAGATCACCCATATAATTATATGCCACATTCAATAATACAAGACAGTCTTATTTAGTAAAATTAAATCACAGCACCATTTTAAAACACAAAAATTTTCTACCACACTAATTTCCAGATCTACGGTATGTTAAAATAACCAACTGACCTTTATAATGTCAGGAGTAACAAATCCAGAGATAGGAGATACATAAACAGTTCGCTCCATCCGATCAGGATGCAAATATTGAGCTCGTAACTCTAAATCAAATTGAATTGTTCTATGAGCTTCTTTTAACAAGTTGGATATAGTAACCAAAGTTTCATACTATAGGAAGATGGAAGTATGACAATCCAAATGTCAATTCACTGAATACAGTACTTTTAATGAATTTCCTGCTAGTTTTATCTGATCCACTACACAATTCTTCTGTAAAACTAATTGTTTCAATAGCCTGCAGTACTATAATAGACAATGAAGTTCTAGTGAACTTACTGAATAGCCCAAATATCAGGAATATAATTGAATTTAAGACAGAGACATCTTAAAACTTTGTTCACAGATAACATATCAATAACTGCAGCAGCACCTTTCTGTAAGAAACATAATAAAATATGCAAAATTTACAATACAAACCTTTCGCAATTTGTTTAAGCCAAGATCAATTAAAGTTAAATGACTATTCGTCTTCAAGGCTTTGCAAATGGCAACTGAACCAGGAACATCAATAAACTATAGTATAAGACATTCCAAAACTTAAAACACAATATAAGGATATTAAATTTTTATTCACATTACAAAACAAATAAAGTTCCTGCAGGAAACATGACGGCTGATTAAGAACAGAAGCCAAGTAGTGAGCTCCAGCAGATCTTATGTTATTGCTATCTAAATTCAATATCTAAATTAATGTACATAATTAAAAATAAATTTTCATTACGAATTACTCTTAATTTGGTATTTTTTAAAAGCCCTGCAGCTAAAAAGCGAGCTCCATGCTTTCCAATTTGATTCATACTCATATCTAAATGATATAAGGAAGTGTTACAAGCCAACACGTCACTAATAATCTACAAAAAATAAAGAATAATTTCATTAAAATAAGAATTATATAATGAACCTTAGCAGCATCAGAAACCAAATTACAATTAGATATATTGAGGAATGTAACATTAGCAAAGGTAACAGTAAATAACTCCACCATCAGCTGACATTGTTTATGCACAGTCTATTCAAAATAGATTACAAATTATATTAATAAGTGGAATACATACCACATTCAAGAAATTTTCATTACCCAGAAGGTTAAGTCTTTGGATTCTCGATGCATTATTTTTGGCCCTTTATAGGAGATTCATACAAGTGCATTTATTTTACATTAAACTCAGCCAATATAATATGAAATTACTTTTCATATATTTTTCTACACTTATTATAATCAAGTCCATTCTTGCTAAGGTCTAGCTCTTCTAAGTTTGACACCTGTAGTAATAATATACACATATCAGTGAATATTACTTACATGTAATTTCATCTTAATATTTTTTTCAGTAACATACAAAAATTTTTCAAGTAAACATACTTGCATCTCTAATTTATAATTTAATATGTATTAAACTACATAAATTAAATTTACATGTAGGTAAAAAGTAAAAAATAGCAATTATGACAAAAATGCAGAAATATAGATAATACATTTACATACATGTATATAGCAAGGCTACAAAAGTAGTGGCAGCCATTTTGTTTGGGGGTGAATCCTACTAAGTAATGCTGCTGCATTACTAAATAAGACTCAGAAAAAAACATTCTTTAACATACACATGCATGCAAGTAACCAAAAACTTACATTAGAAGAAAAAACAATTCCAAGAGCTTCTTGTGCACCACCAGCAACAAACCCCTAAAAAAATACAAATAAAATATATGCTCTACATGTAATTACAAGGTCCCAAAACTGCAAAGTGGAATTCTTTGACAACATCTTCATATTCTCTTCAGTAATGCATTGCGATACATCAGTTTTCCAAAAGTTTAACTACAAAAAATACTATGTCAAATTATCATAACAGTAATTCACCTTTCGGAGGGATATAGTTAAATGAAATAATTTGGCTAAAGCAGCAACAAATTCTTCGTGCCTTCCTTTCATTCGTCCACAGTCAGACAAATTGACATCTTCAATGCAAGCGTTATAAGCAAGGTTCTGCAACACTTTTGCTAAGCCAATTGCAGTAGCATTATTCTTACTAAAATCACCCCATAATAAAAAAACAAAAATACATGTAATCACAGAAAATAATAATAATAATAATAATAATAATAATAATAATAATAGCATGTAGGGCCCTATGAATGCTTCCAGCTATGCATTAATAACAACAATAATGCAATAATTAAAAACCTCAAGTCTAGCTTCTTCAGATTTCTTTTCACAAGGAATGATTCAGCTAAAGCTTTCATACCATCATCAGTAATCTGACAGCAGCGCAAATTCAACTCAGCCAAGTTAGGTAATGATCTTTTCAAAAAATGAAGAAATTAAAGAATATGATATATGTACATGTGGTATACATGAGTGCATAATAAAATACAAGAGTCTGCAATCTGCATTTACACAATACATGTACAAAAATCCAAAAACAAATCACAAACCTATGCTGTATCATGAGTTCAGATAGCTTGACAGCCCCTTCACTTCTCAAGTTGTTACCTTCTAAAATAAGAGTCCTTTAATTGCTAACGTTAAAAATTTCTTAGTGATTGTACATACTCAAGTCCATCACTAGTAAGGCGACTCTCGGCAAGTTTTGATACATGACTTTCCTCAATGCCAAGATATTTCATGGTCAAAACCTTAAATAAAATACATACAATGCATGTAATGTACATACACACAAAAGCTACTTTTTGTACCTTAAGAGAACCTGCACTCTTTGTCATTCCCTTGACCAATTCTTTAAATCCTTTTGCACCAAGGGCAACTTCTCCCTGACAATTACAATTAAGCAATTATATTGAATGATAGTACTATGTATCACCTTTGATATGGTCAGATGACTGAGGTTAGGTAGTAATTCAACAATACGAGATAGAAAAAAATAGTGAGACTTGATGTTATGAGGGCTAAAAGTCACGAGTTCAAAATGACGCAACATTTCATTTGAGAGAACTAATGTCTCATACAATAACTACAGTATGTACATCAAACACAGACATAATGAAGCCAAACAGCTCCCCTACTATACCTTGAAGTCAGGATTTTCATTAAGTTTACCAACCAACTCTTGTAGATTATGCTACAAATAATTATTATTTACCACTTACATTATAATTATGATCCATAGACGATTACCTGTAAGTAGATATGTTTCCATGGATTATCAACTCCCAAATAAGTATCAGGTACTTCCTATTGTGTCCAATAAAATCAAACAAATAACTCTATAAACACTCACTGATACACCAAATCTTGTGTCTACAAGAGCATGCCAATCATCATCAGTCATATCAGCTGCCGACAACAATTCATCCAATGGCCTGATGCAACCTAAGCGTTGTTTTTCAAATTCTGAAGAAAAAAGGATGATAGTAAAACATTACATTTTTTTTAAATAGATGTAACCTTCAGGAGATAGTACATCTATTGCTTTGCCTCCATGATAGTGCTTCTCAAGTGAGTTAGCAATTGACTCTTTTAAAAGTATCAATAACTGTTTCTCAGTTTGGTGAGGAAAACCAATCTGTTTGAAGTATTCACTAAAAAGGATAAATAACAACCATAGATTTTTGTGAGTCTGCTTGCATACCAACTAATTCACTAAGTTATGAAGTAACTAGCATGTGAACCTAAATCCTATCGTAGTAATAGTGGTAACAAAGTTGGCTTAATTATGTCTTTCATATGCAAGTCAGTCAGTACAATTAACTTTTAACTATACTTAAACTAACAAAAACTTTCTAGTGGACAAATAACATGCAGGGTAATTAATATCACAGAAGCCTATGAGGATAAAGAGAAACACATATATAAGGTTAGTAATTCAAACACTTTCACCTAGCAAACCTTTCTCTGACAACCAACTCAAACACTATACATTGCTTCTTGATTCTACAACTTCATTAAAAATATCCATTTTACAGCTAAGATCAGGACAAATACATGTAGGCCACCCTGACTTCCATAACCTTTACAATTTCCCACTTCCCAGCCACCCAATCACAATTTTTCATTGTGGGTTCTTGTATGAATTACTCAGGTTATACCGGTGTCAATGACAAACCCAAATACTCTCATCAGGCCCCCCTTCAGTAATGGGAAACCATGAATCATGGACATGAAGTGACCTTAAAGCAATTGAATTTTTCATCACAAACCTAAAGCTCTTCACTGCTTTTATAGGTTCAATTTGTTCCAAGAGCTGATCTTCATAGGTCTAAAATAGAACTAGCAAAACAATACACAATTATTGAAAATTTACGCTAGGAAGAAGAGAATAATATTTATCATACAAATCAATGACTGTATCAAGTGACGATCCTTCTGGTGCAAGAAAAATTCTATTACAATGATTAACATTTAATTATACAGCATAATACATACGTGTATATATGACAATACCTATTAAATGTCAATTGCATCATGACAAATCGTAATCCAGTAATATTATATCCAGAAAAACTTCTTGAAATACGATCACCATCAATGCTGCAGAAAAAGTAACAATTACATTTATGAGCAATAACAAACCTAGCATTCTTCTCAATTGTACTTAATTCTGGAAAATGTTTCAAAATATTTCTGACATTGCGATCCAAACTTTCATAGACAAAAGACTGCATTAAATCATTCCATGTCAAGCCAGTAAACGTGATATAAATCAGCAATATACCAGAATTAGGAATTACCTAATAACAATTAACTTCAAAACATTTCAAAATAGTGATGCTAATAATTTATGGCTTTATTTTCATGACTAATTTACAACATGCCCAGATAATGGGAAGGTCGTATGCATCCATCCAATGACTTACAATGTACATACACATGTATTAGCAACTGGTACTATTAGAGCTTATACACTACACAAAAAAGCACACAAGTCCAAGATGTTCAATTTACTACTTACATCAATATGACGAGCACTAGGATCTCCAATGAATTGAGTAAGAACGTTCTTTGCCTTTTCCTTTAACTCAGGATAATCCATAAGAAATTGTAAAAATAATCTATGCATGTAGCAATAAGCTTTCAGTTGAAGAAGAGACTCTGAACCATCATTAGCTTGGAAAAAGCTACATATATTATTAAAACAAAATAAAACTACCTGCAATTATTATTATACCTGACACAAGTAGATGTTAAGAATCGAGGAAAAAAATCTAAAGCCATTGAAGGTTGAAACTCGTTAGGACCCCCAGTATAAATGGAGCTAATTGATCGTTTGGCTAAATGCAAAGACCTCTCTGGTGAGTATTTATCCAAATCTAGTGTCACAATGTCAAAAAAGCTTTGTATCAAGAAAGTAACAGGCAATGTCAATAAATTTTATTAATTTAAAGCAGGAAAATCAGTTGTCTAGCATTTAAAAATGCATAAAATCACATTGGGCCTTTTTACCAAAATCTGTGTATCCCATTACTAGGAAATTTGTTAGTGTATTCAATCATTTTTATTGTGCAGTACAACTACAAAATTAAATTACTTGAAATCATGCCTGATTAATTGGAAAGCATTAAAGATTATAACATTTAAAATTTTAAACATGAAATTCAATGAAATGAAAATTTCCAAATACAGTACATCACAAAAAATTAAAATAAAGAAATACATTGTACATGTATTAGCAGCTGCATTAAATGACAATATTGACATCAGCAAGACATACATGTACATGTACATGTATATCCAAGGGTACAATTAAGGCATTGATCACAACAACATAAAAATAATTATTTAATATTATGCTCACAAATTGGCATCCAATGCATGAAAGTTTCTCTCCATACTTCCCTGCCTTTGGAACTCTTGAAAGAAGAAAGTGACACAAGAATTGGTATACATTTGACTTTCTGTACTGCACCGCTCCTAACAAGTAAGAACAAAATAAAAATAAATTGCAACATGTGTACATTTAAAGTATGTGTACATGGCTACATGCTCATTCATGAATATACAAATTGCTTGTTTAGGTACAGGCAAAGCACAAGTTCATTTATTGTCAAAGACTAACACAAAAAAGAGTAATTCAAGCCCAATGAGAAATACCCAACACCAACATGTACATGTAACCATGCATACCGTATACGTTCAAATTTCAAGTGTTTAAAATTCAATGAAATGTGCTCAAATGTTAATATTCGTGTGAGCTAAGTTTCGTGTTCTGGCCATAGTCTGCATACAATAGAATGGTATTAGAGATGGGCAGATTTAAGGTGAGCACAAAAATAACAAAATTTAATACACCTTAAAAATTAAGACCAGTACAGTATAAATAAATACATGCACTGTATATCCTTAAATTGAAGCTGGATGTGAATAAATGCCAGGGCAGCAAAAGAATTGAAGTACATGTATAAATAAACAAATCTAGCCCTAAAGTAACTGAGATGCCATGTAGATACTGCTAAAGTTACTAAAGTCACTTGCACGAGGTCACTGGTTCAAATCCTGCTCTGGGCCCAAAAAATTTTTATTTAAAAAAATTTTTTTGACGTACAGATACCATTTTAGGAAATAGACACCCAGGCTTTTATTTAAGGAAATACAGTATGTGTATTATCAAGCACGTACATTTGTAGTTTTGTACCAGTCAACAGAACATGCTAGAAGGTTGCACAAAGTTGGCTTAACCACAAAAAAACCTTGGCATTTCAAAATGGGTAAGTCATTCACAAACACTACAAAGAGTACATGTACTGTACATACATGTACATGTACATGTATACAGTACTCTCATGATGCTTGAAAATTTAAAAGCCTAACTTTTCTCTATGGCACATCAGCTAAATTTTCTTTACTTATACAACAGGAAATGAATCTTGACACGATCGTCATCACGCATGGGTAAATTTAATTTTTGAATATGGTACGAGCAATTATCCCAGGTCAAAAAAAGTTATTTCTCTGGCAGTAACAATGATTACAGCAGCCAATAATCATACTGTGACCACTATTTAAGATTCATGAAAAGTTCTTTTTTTACCTAGCATCCTTGGTAATATTTATTCCAATACCCAAAGCTGCTTCATCATACTTCTTCAGAGAATAATAACAATAAACACCCTCCAGATAGTGTGATATACATGTATGTGGGTCAACTTTATTTTCAGAATCAACAGATTGCTGCATAAAGAATAAATTTACATGTACATCAACATCAAAATAATAGCTAAAATCCCTTACATCAACAACTGGCCACATTTTTCTTGGTCTATGCTTACAAGAGTTACAACTCATGTGAAAACTCTATACCATTAGAAGGAGATGCATAACAAAAGAGGAATTACAATTACTTGTTCAACTGAGAACCGAACACCTGACTCCCACTTTGACTTTGATGACTCGTATTCCGTTAAATCTGATAGGTTTCTTAATGCAACTTCCACAGTTCCCTCATAAAATAAAGCTGTGTGAGGTATCAATAATCATACATACATGTAAACTATGCATATTACATGTACATGTACCTTCCAATTGTAACAAAATAGACAATGTAGAATAGCCTGGAAACCAGTATCTAGACTTATCAACACTATTTGATGGCAGTGACATATTCTTCTGCTTGACCAGAGGAGTTAACATGTCCAATTCAATGATGCCATTTATAATGCAAGGATGCTCAATACGTGTAGCCATCTTTATTGTTGGTGGATATCTAATAAAAACACAACAATTGAAAAAATATGTATACATGTGAAGGTAAATGTAATCACTTGATGGTAAAACAATTATTTTGACAAAATTTAACAACATTACAGATACACGTACATGTACTGTACATGTAGATTAACTTGTAAAACCTACTTTGGATGATCCTCGTTAAAATAAATTATGAAATGAAAAATTCCTCCACTATACAGTGTATCTTTTGGACCAATTATGTTACCATGCCATTCAGTGAAATTATTCATCAATGGCTCCACAGACACATTGTGCAACTTACTAGGATAAAAAAGAAAAGTAGAATCAATACTATGTTATGGAACTGATTTAAGAAGAATAAAATATTTTATATTTCAATAGTAAAAGACAAAAGTATAAACAAGCACTAGAGGTTACTGACAGCTGGAATTGCTTGGTCATGAAAAATATTTCATGTAGCATATAGTACCGTACAAGATGATTTATTGGTGGGAGTAATATTTAATGAATTTGCCTGTGGAAAGAAATTGGTGGATTTTATATTGGCAATTTCCTGCCACGTGCCATTGAGCATGCTCAGATTGAAACAAAATGGTGGATTTTATATTGGCAATTTCATCATAAAACAACCAATCGCCAATATCAATTCCTCACAAATAAATCATCTTGTACGGTATACAGTAGAACCTCGTTTAACGACCACCCCTAAGTAACAGCCGTCTATCATGTAACAGACAAATGTCTAGCTCCGGATGCAAACTACACTTACTTGCCTATTAAGGCAACCCCTGAAGAGTGACCACCTCTTTATTGCATATAATGAGCACTCAATGTCCCCAACACAGCTTATAGTATAGTGCGTGGGTGCATCAAAGGCACCACCCGTGCTGTATATCTCATACAGCACACTTCCAGTTCATACAGCACAGTTTGTGGTTTTCTGTTGTATAAACTGTGACCACCCCCCACTAAGAGCCACAAGAGGTAGAAGACTCCGTGACAGTTACTGCAGTCTCTTTTCAGTCTTTTGGTTCTCTTTAGGCTATTCTTAACTTGGGCTTGGGCTGGTGCATTTGATATACCCACGCACTATGACCATAAGCTAGTAAAAGCACAGTTCCCCCTGTGCTATACTGGAAATACAGCACTCGAGGTGTGGTCTCAAAAGCCATACAGCACTCAGCTTTGCCTCATGCTATATGGCTTCCTCGACCACACATCTCGTGCTGTATTTCCCCGTACAGCATGGGGAACTGTGCTTTAACTAATACATAAAGCATTGAGAAAAACTTCTCTTTAACAGCCATGTGGCCACACCCATCACCTAGACTGGATGCTTTCATCATAAAACGTCACGTGTAGCCCCACCCATCTAAATAAAATGGGTGGAAACTTGAGCATGCCCTTTCTTATTGCTGTAAATCACTTATTTTCCCTGCTACCTCTTACATACACTACCTGCAGGATCATGGTACTTGTTACTAACCTGAGGAATGAATCAAGATACGAAAGAAGGCAACACAGTTAAATATCTCTAAGTTATACACTTTAAACTGAAACCCTTCAATAAAGACCACCCCTATATAACAGCCAAAGGACCAGATCTCAATGGTGACCGTTATACAGAGGTTCCACATACGGTATATCACCCAACAATAGTCATTTTTAATTTACCAAGCTTACCAAATTTAGAATATTCATAGGTATACATTGTACCACTTGGTGAGATATTAAAAAAAGAATATATCATAAAAGAGATGATCCAATTGCTGTAGCAACTTTAGTCCCATGTATCAACAAAACACTACACAACTACTGATCAACTCAGTCAGATATGAAGTTAATCATGCAGTCATTCACAAATTACTATATGCACCATATACTTCGCAGGTAAAAAATTCACAATTTGGATGCATTTTTGCATTCACGAATAAAAATTTCGTGATTTTAATGTAATTACCACACCTACTATACAATCAGCACATATTTTGTGGATTTTAATGTCACAAAATTTTCCAAAACACCAAAATCACAAAATTTAATCCCAGCAAAATATATGATGCATGAGGTTATTGTTTGTTGTTGATACTTGCCAGGTGACTAGAAAGGCTCTGTCAGTTTTTAAGGGTAAAGAAATACCAAATAGCGCTTTAATTTGGCAGAGTTTTTTTTGGCGATTGGCGGTTTGCAAGCAGAATCGCCAATATTACAACCCCCAATCATTAATGCGCATGCTCAGTAACAAAAAAAATCACCAAATTAAAAACTGCCAATTAGCAAAATTGCCAAAATAAAGTGCTATACAGTAGTATTCATCCTGAGACAAGGCTTGGTGGTGCTAACATGACATACCCATATGTAAAAACTGGCCCCACATGGGAAAACTGACAAGCTAGAAACGTTTTCTTAAGGTGACAATTTTTTCATTAAACCATACATGTACATGTATATACAGTACATGTACCTCAAATTAATTGTATGAGTGTGGAAAATTCGATTTGGGAATAAAAATTGCAAAATTTAATACAGCAAATTATATATCCACTAAATTTATGGCCTTCAAAAAAGGCACACTATGGTAGTTTGTAATTTAATAGTGTACTGTATACTTTAAGGCCACTATTGTTTGTGAGTACTAATTTTTGCATTTTTGCGAGTGGTTTTAAAATCGCAAAAATTAGTACTTGCATTTATTAATAATTTATGTTTATTAACAGTTATTAATTGAAAAAATGAGCAAAATTGCAAAAAAAAATTAGTACACGTTAAATCAATACCATTAACAAATTAGAAAATTTTTTCTACTTCAAAATAAGTGGCTTTAAGGTACATTTAAATTATCAAGCGTTTAAAATTTCATATTTTCAATGAAATGTGCTCAAAAAATTAACACTTGTGTGAACTAGAATCTTTCATGGCTCAAAATTTTTGAAAATTTAGCAATTCATTCAAAAATCACAAAAATAAAATCCACAAAAATTCATTTAATACAGTTCAAGAGAACCGAAAGGCATATTATTAAGAGATTTAAAACCACAAAATACAATTTTGGATGAATTTGTAAAATTGTTGGGCCATAAAAATATTCGCTATAAGGTAATTTTCATGTTCTGGTCATAGTCTATCTACAATGAAATACAATTCACATTAGAAGTCATTTAAATTTTGCAGCTTTAAGGTAATAAAAATCCACAATTTTGAGCCATTATACACATGCTCAATGGCACGTGGCCACCAATTCGCCCAATTAAAATCCACCAATCACCAAAATTTAGCCCTTCAAAATTTAGCTGCTACAAGGTACATGTAAAGCAGGTTGTTCACTTACTATTTTCGAACCTGAATGTATTCTCGATAGAGACGCTGAAATGAAGACACTTAATAACTCCACAACAATAAACCAAATTACTTTCAATAGAGATGAGTCCAGCTGAATGCCAGCAGCAGTCAAGTTAGTTATGGACACATCAGTAAGAGAAGAATGATCAGAAACAGAGCGTGTGTCTAGATTTTTCTCATTGATACAGTAGCCTTTACCATCCTTGTTTCGCCCAAAAACAACTGGTCTTCTTTTGCTTTCTCTAGCACCTCCACGACCTCTACTTCGACCTGAATTCCAAGACATAGCTTGATGGATCCAAAAGTTAAAAAATCACTGTTTGAGAGTTTGTAAATTGTCACACGTGGGATACCAGATTCAGATTCAGGGCTTCAGCTCATTCTGTACCGTAATAAATCGATTAGCTAAATACTCTGTCTTTGTGTAATATTTAATTATGTTGATGTCTCCTGCCTTTGTCCCGAGCTTTGTCCTGATCTGACTAGTTTTTGCGCCATGGAAAGAATGGCTCAAAGTGAAGCTCGAGAATTGAAGCCTGTGGCAGGTGATGTTGAGACTGGTGCTTCTTCAATTCCTGTCGTAGGAAAGGTTAGACTTAAAAGATTATTATGCTGCGTTAATGTTTAGTGAACTACATTGTACACTTGTCCATTTTATGGTCCTGCTGTAATTACACTGTACACTTTACTGCTACATTTGTAGAGAAAAAGTGGTGTTCAGCGTAAAAGAGAGTTTGATGGTAAGATCTTTTGTATAATTTAAAATATTGCACCATGCTTTATAGGCTTGATTGGACTTGTCAATATTGGGAATTCTTGTTATATGAATTCATCAATTCAGTCACTATCGAACTGGTAATTCAGTCTTTATATTCATATTTTTATGAATGAAAAAATGATTGCCTTTAGTCTCCATTGCATTGCAGCAAAAAGGTTCTGAGACATTGCCATTAAATTTTAGCTTCATGATAGATAAATTTAACTCCCGATTCGATTTCTTGAACTACATGTACATGTAATGTTGATTAATTGGGAGATGTTTGTTTTTAAAATGTTTTAGTTGCCCATGAAATTTTGATGTAGGAAATTTTTTCCACAACAAATAATAAGATTACTAGTCTGGTGTTTGAATTATGGGACTTGTGATACATTCTATACTTTTTGTTACAAAAATTATGTGTATAAATCAGCCAACGAAAATAAAACACCTTAATTTTATAGCATGAAAATTTCCAAATGTACAGTAGATGTACATGTATTAGACACAAAATCATATGACTGATTCTTTAAACTACATGTACATGTAATGTATACATTCTATGTAAACACTACACCACATTACCAAATACAAGAATCTTTTCATTACACAGAGGTTTTCCTTAAAGGGAAGTTTTATAAATGAGGCATCCCCAATGTGAGACTTTACCTTCTTATAAAAAATGAGGGGCAATAGACAGCAGAGTAAGCTGGGTAACAAATTGCGGAACAAGAAAAGAGAATAAGAAAATAAGTTTGCAGAATATGTTTCAAAATGAGGGAAAGGCTATTAAAGGTAATTATCTGTCCTCCTAGATAGTAAGATGGCAAAATAAGAGTGACAGAGCATAATGTGAGGAGAAAAAAGGTGCCATTTTAACAGTGGGTGGGTCTCTTTTTAATTGATTATGATATTATATGACGTCACGGAACTAGTGCGCATGCGTGGCCACGCCCACTTTCCAGTAAAATGGCATCTTGGTTAGAAAAAAGCTTTCGTTATTTCGTAACAGAGGAGTTTTCGTTAAAGGGAGGCCCGTTTTCATTAAAAAAACTTGGGAAATGAGTTGGTACATTTAATTTTTTTCATTATAAGGAGGTTTTTGTTGAAGAAAAGTTCCGTTATCAGAGGTTCCACTGTAGTACCATTAGAGAAGCATTATGTATGAAAAGTGTGCCACTGAAATTGCTAGTTGAAAAAAATACAATCAATGTCAATAATATTAAATCATGAACCAGAATTAGAAAAATTTGTGGCTACAGTATTTAGGGAATAGAATAAAGATAGGATAAATATGAGATTAGGATTTTTATTCTGTGCACCAAAGTGTAATCAGTAATGGTCATACAACGTGTAATACATACGTACATGAATTATTATCAGTGTAGCTCAAAGTTTCTAATTTTACCTTTCCTGATTTAGCCTCATCTGTCCTGTCATATTTATTGTAGTTGGTGTGATAAAGTTTTATTTTTAAATAAGAAAATCAATTAAAAGTATGATATGATGTGAAATGAACATGTGTAATATACATTAAATCTTGCATTAAATTTTGTGGACCTTTTAGAGGGTAAAATATGCCTTAAAATTGTACATGTACATGTACATGTAGTTTGCCCACCATTATTTGCTTGTGTTTGCATGTGCATATTTTAGATTGCAAAGTTTCCAGACCCTTTCTCCATAAAATAGCGTGTGAGGAAACTAATTTAATTACATACTTTAGACCTGCATGAACATAATGCATGTTCATGCAGTGTTCTTACATGCACATTACATGATATATACGTACATGTGTATGTACATGTACATGCATGTAATGTGCATGTATGGAAAGGCAAGTCATGTACATGTAGGAATATGGATGCTGCCTTGTTTTTGATATCACCACTACATGCATGTATATAATTTACATCTACTGTCTTTTTTAGTCCTCCTTTTAGACAGTACATGACTGAATGTTTACCTGCTCAATCTAGTGATAGTCTTGCTGCTGCTCTTTCTCTTATTTTGACAAAAATGTGGAAATCGGAAAGGTGAGGTAATCAATTTTTAATTGTGTCTATAACATGCATAGGAATCCTGGAAGTTTAAGTCCAAGACCTGTTAGCTCCTCTATGAAGCAGAAAATGTTTAGAGGTTGGCAGCAGCAAGATGCTCAGGAGTTTTTGCGTTGTTTATTCAGTCAGATACACGATGAGTTGAGTGTTCCATTGCCACACTATTATAAAGAATTTTGTCAGAATCAAACTCAACCAGCCACATGTATACTGCAGTCACAGGTGTCTGAATCTTTATCTGAAAGCTCAGATTCTGAATTACTTACACCTCATAGTCTATTGAGGTCACACAGTTTGTCATCTTGTGATCAACCGATGGCTCCTTCAAAAATTCAACTTAAGAAATCTTCTAATACTTTTCCGTCTTTTAAGTCAAAAGTATCAAAGAAGGGCTTCTATACGCAACTAAGCGAAACCCTAAAGAAAGGAAAGGTAGCCAACAGTGCTAATAGTGAAGCTTGTACTTCTGATCCTAATGATGATAATTCTGATAGTACATCTAGAAGAGACTTTTGTTTGAATGAACATTCTACTGTTATTGTTGATATAGCATCCGGTCAAGCAACTGTTCGGGATACTGTAACAGACCGCCAGTCGATTACACCTGAGCATAAGGATCGTGTAAGAAAGGCTTCAGGTGCATGGTGTATAATCTAAGTCATTAGCTAATATTTTCCTTATTTTTAGGACCAAGTCAACCTTTACATGTAAGTATTGTCACTCAAACTTTCCAAGGAGAGTTTGAAAGTCGAGTGGAGTGCTCAAAGTGCTCCAAAGTTTCTGTAACGAGGGAACCATTTCAGGATTTATCTCTTCCAATTCCAAGTAAGTCACATGATAATGCTTTTTGTGTGTAAACTAGTACCTGTTAGGCAGAAAAGAAATGACTAAGATGAGGAAACAGGAGGATGCTAATGATGCAGATCCACCAACTCATGATAATGTGGCTAATCGTGTTTGCCGTGTTTGGGATATTGTGATTGGTTTTACACGTGACATGGTTACTGGTCCTCCTACTTCACTAGATGATTGTCTTGGATATTTTTTTGACACTAGTGATCTATCTGGTATGTGTATACGTACATGTATCTGCATGTTTTTGGGTTTAATTTCTTCAGGTGATAATCAATATTTTTGTGAGCATTGCAAAAGGTATGGCACGTGAAATCTACTTTTATTATTATCTAAAAAATTAATGTAATCATAATAGTTTTCAAAATAGCAAGAAGGGAATGATAATATCTAAGTTACCTGAGGTACATGTTCACTACATTGTACATACATGATGTTTATAATAATAAATCTCAGATTTTATGCATTCATATTAAGAGATTTCGATATGATGGTCTCTTCACAAGCAAAGTCAGCAGATACATTGATTTCCCTTTTGATCTCAATATGACTCCTTATGCTAAAAGCGATGAGCAAGAAAGTGAGTGTATACATTGCTTGTACTTTTATTAAAGTTGGCAATTGTAGCGTATGAACTGATATCTGTCATTACTCACATTGGAGGAGCAGGAGGTTAATATTATTTATTGCATTAAACGTGCATGCATGAATTTTTTGATTTAGGAGGGCATTATATATCTTACGCTAGAAACTTTGATGACTGGTATGAATATAATGACTCACGTGTCAGTTCTGTTTCAAATAATGATGTTCTTTCCACTGAAGGATACTTGTTGTTTTATCAGTGAGTTGAAAATAATTTATTTTGCATATTGTAAATTTGTAATATTTACAATTTACATGTACTGTAATTGTAGAAGGAAGCCATCTGAACCAATCCCTTTACTTAACCTTGAGGATATTGTAAGTGTTTACATGTACATGTACATGTATTGTACATTGATAATTGTTATTACACAATTTTTGGTAAAAAGGCACCACCTCCTGGAACTCTAATTCCTTCTGATAGTGTTTGCTATATTTCAAGGCACTGGCTTTTATTGAGAAATAGTACTGTTAATCCAGGTTTGTAAATGTATATGGGTTTGTTATGCTAGTCAGTAAAATTTTTACGGCAGGACCATTAATTCCTTTTGATTTTGCCTGTGAACATGGTGGTAAGGAAGGACATAATCATTACTTTGTATAGTTAATTTATGTGCGTGGTGTACATGTATAGGAATAATGCCTGGTAAGGAATCAATAGCAAGGAAGGTAGCTATTCCCATTCGAAGAAGTGTGTGGCAGGAACTTGTGGAAAAGTTAGTTGGCATGCACACATGTGTATAAAGCTATTTGTGTATTCACTGTACTTATGTAGACATGGTGGTGGTCCTCTTGTAAAAGTTTTAGAAACTTGTGAAAAGTGTCATGTACGTATACATGTACATTGTATATTGCATTGCCTGACTGTAATGGTTGTACATGTGTATGTACATGTATGTGTTTATACTTTATAGGCCTATCTAGAGGAGTTAAAAACACGTCGTAAGAAGGAAAGAGACGGAGTAAATGAGGTACAATATACATGTAGTACTGTAGTTGCATTTGTACATTTTACATGTGAGAACTATCAGTGGTAACTGCAATGTACATGTATACTTATGATTCATTTTTTGTGTTAGCATTTTAAATTTAACGTTAACACAGTAATAAAATTAATTAAAGTAGCATTCCTGTCCTTTAATTGGTCATCTTAATCTTGATTCATGAAAATAAAACCTACCATAATAGTTAAAACACTTTTGTGTGTGCATTATTTTGAAATATTTCTAATTACAATCATTTACATTTAGATCCAAACAGCTAACAAAGGCAAACCAGAGACAGTTCTATTGTCATGTACTTGGCTAAAAGAATGGCAAGATTTCATTCATTGTGATTCATTGAGTAAGATCATGATACATGTACATGCAGTACATGTACAGTTTACATCTTTGTATAATAACTTTTCAGAATAAGTGAATCATAAAACAGGTACTCTTGGTGACACATGTAAAGAGCAAACTTTAGTATTAGCTTAGTTCCTTGTCATCAAGATTGGATAATCATCCACTCTTGTTGTTATGTACATGTACATGTATTTGAGAAATGTCTTTCAGTCTTGATTAAGATATTGGGCCACTGTGTTGCAAATCAGATTATGATCCCATTTTAATCAATACAATTAAGGCTTTAAGTGTCTCTACATTTTTGCTTGTTGGTATTTTAATTTGGTTTATATTGCTATTATACTTTAGGCCAGTTACCTCCTGAACCAATTGATAATTTTCCTGTGTTAAATATATTGGATGAAGGTCGTACTATCTCACTAAATAAAAGTAAGTTGTTGTCATGTATAAGTATTAGTTGCTTTTACTGCTTTTTTCTATCTGCAGAGCAAAAGCATCGTTGTATTGCATTGCCTGTGTGGAAATATTTGCGTGATCAGTATGGAGGAGGCCCTCTTGTAACCACTTCAAAGGAACATTGACTTTAAATTTATTCATAGTTTTTATTGTAATTTTATGTTTCTATGGTAACAAAATTTTTATTGTAATAACAAGATGGCTACGCAAGATGTCGACCAGTAAGAATACAAGCTTTTTACTTGAACGTATGTGCTGATTCGTTTGGGATACATAGGTTGAATAAACCCTTAATTCAAGAGTATGAACGTATCATCAATGATCTGAAACAGCAAATTCAACAGTACAAAGTAAAGTTGATTCTTTGAATTATAATTCTCGTGATTCCCAACTGAAATGTTACTATCCCACCAAGAATTTTTGTTAACTTTAGCCCTTTTTGCTTTTATATACATAAAACACCTTTTTCTAAATTCTGGAATCAATGTGAACGAGTGTCATGACTGAAGAGGCCTTTAATACCCTCTTGATTTGTTGATTGTTAATTACTCTCTGCTCCTCGTTAATTTCATTTTGTGTCTTTTATACAGGCTGATTCAGTGTCACTGAAGCAAGATGTTCAAACAGTTACAGATGAAAATGAAAGGTTGCATACACAATTTATGCTAGCAAAATAAATCCCCCTTATAATTGAAAAAAAAACTAGCTTTTAAAGTGCAAGCTATGTTCTAAACAGGGATTTAATATACTAACGTAACCAGGATGGGTAAATCCCAGTTAATTTATAATAAATCCCTGGTTCTAAATTAAGCTGATAGTTTCTTTTATGTTAGAAGTTTCACATTATATTTTCTTTTACATGCATAATTGTTTCTAAAGTTAATGTGGATTTACTTGTACTTCATAAAAATTTTTTGTCATATGTACTGCACGTAGGGCTGATGTTATTTTCATTCTTAAAATACATTTGTATAGGTTACATGAGGATTTACTAAGAGCTTACCAACACATAGGCTCACCTAGTATTGATCTACTAAAAGTAGTTCAGTTAGCATTATTAAATGCTTAAAATTTTTGTCTCTCTATAGGATAAGCAAGATGGTACTAGATTGTTGAAGCAATCAAGTATTGAATTAAAGGTTGCAGAGAAAGCAGACCAGGTGTTTGTTATGTGAATTATACATGAAATGACTGTATTTTAATTTAGGAAGCTTCAGTATCACAATATAAAAGTAGCTTGGCTATGTACAAGGTATTTTATTTTACATACAAATTTTATGCATATAAATATGCTCTTAACAGAAGGAACTTAGTACAACTCAACAATCACTCACTGAGTTACAAGAGTCATATGACAAGCTACAACTAGAATATCAAAGATCTGTTAGGACAGCAAAAAATTTTTATTCAGAGTTGACAACTCTACGTGAAGAGCAAAGGTTCTTTTAACTTGATCATAATTGTCTGTTTATTATTATGTTAATCAATTTTGTTTAGTCTATGTAAGGACCAGCTAAACCAAGCTAACCAGAAGAACTCTGAGCTGGTGTCCCTGCTAGACAGCACTAGAGATCAACTGAAGAGGAAGGTGCTCATGAAAATTTTGGAATTTAGTAATTGAGTTACATGTATATGTATTATTGTGTGTAGATTACTGAAATGAATGCTATTTGTATAAAGGAGAGTTCATCTGACCAAAGAGTATCAGTACTTCAAGCAGCAAATGGTGAACTTGAATCAAGGTAAAATATAGATTTTTTAATAATTATACCTGTATGAGTGTGCGTAATTATTTTAATTGTTTATAAGGCTTGCTGTGATTGAAAATGAATGCTCTAAACTTAGTGATTATAAAGCACTGCTCGAGGCTAAGCTTTCTTCTTTGCAAGAAACTATGTAAGAAGATACATATGCATGTACAAATACATGTGTAGTTACTAGTCATAATTGTATTTTTGTGTCCTCGTCATGATTGCATGTATAAAAGTTAATGTCTTTGTGCCATAATAGAAATGCTTTTGAATCAAGAGAGCATGTGGCTGTTGATCATGTCAAAGAAAGTATGCAATTGCTGGAAGCAGCTTTAGCTGAAAAAGATCAGGTTATAATTTTAATTCTTATCAAATTAATAAAGCTTTTTATACATGTAGTCTGATATTAAAGAACAGCACTATGTGTCTGAAATAAGACATTTGGAAAAGAAAGTATCTATTTTATTGGAAGAAGTTGGTGCTCGGACAAAATTAGAGGTAAAAATCGTGTATTGTAATTTATTATTTGCCCTTGCATTAATGAAGGTTGACAAAGTAAGGGCAGAATGTAACAAAAATATTGACATAATGGCTTCAGAAATTGAGCACCTTGAGAAAGTTAATATAATTATGTGCTTATTTAAAGTCACTCAGGATAATATTATTGTAGCAATGTGCAAAAAAGCAATCTCATATTGAGAAACTCCAAAGAGATAAGGAAGAACTTAATGAAGAGCTGAAGAAAGTAATACAATGAAGTCATTGCAATCACTGTACTCATAATACACATGTACATGTACATGTAGGTTACTATGCAGTGTCCTGAAGAGCAATTATGGGTAAAGGAGACACTAAAAGAAATCAGGAGTAAACTTTTGCAATCTGAGAGGAGCAAGCATGAAGCAATATCAGAGCTAAATGCTACAAAGCGTATCAATTCAAACCTTCAGAAAAGGTATATACAGTACATGTAACAGTAGCATATGTACATGTAACTGACCTAAAATCAGTCTATTAGATGAGCAAAGGAAGAGTGCATACTTTGAAGAAGGTCTTAAAGAGCAACGGCAACTAAATTGCAGTGATTCACAACAGTTTCGTCAGGAAATAAATTTACTGACCGGTATTACATTTAATATTCAAAATTATTTTGTCATCTTGTTGTAGAAACTAACAAAGCTTTACAGGAACAAATAAGTCAAATGTCTGATTGTATGCAACTATCTGTAAAAGAATCTGAACAAAAGGTAGTTTTGTGCATCAGACTGTCCCTACAATTATGATATAGATTATACATCTATAGGTTAATCTAGCTCATGAAGAATTACAAATTAAGGAAAAAGAATTGTCCATGAGATTAAAATATGCTGAAGAAAATCAACAAAGAATGACATCTGAATTCAAGCAGCAAATGCTGATGCACCAGCAATCAACCAACAAGTCATTTACATCATTACATGCACATATGATTGATTTTCATCGTAAATTGTATAGGTGGCAAAAAGAAATCAGTGATTTGCATTCCAAGTTTGAGAAGGCCCTTCTTGATATGAACACTAAATTGATGGATTCCAAAGCAAAGAACAAAGAGCTTAACTCAAAACTTCATCGATTATTGTCTAGTAGTAAATCTGTAAGTGATAATAATCTTAACCTCATTCATAATCAAAAATGTTGTTTGTTAATGTAATAATATTATTATCAAGCATGCATGAGGTTAAGATTATTATATATGTGCATGCATCTACTTGTACATGTGCATTTTACAAATTTAGGTCAATTTAACTCTTGTTGAACATGAGAAAACAATATCATCTTTAAATGATAAACTATATGAAGCAGAATCATCAGCTGAACAAAGAAGACGGCAAATATCACTATTAGTTACCAGAGAGAAGAAGGCCTTAAAGGAAAAAGAGGAATTAAGTAGACAGCTGCACAAAGCAAAGTTTCAAATGGCTCAAAGTTTGAAGTAAAAATATCCAGCAATTGATGTGATTTACTTACATGTATTTATGTAAATGTACATGTACATTTCATTTATAGTGTTGCTAATGTCAGTTTTCTTGGAACAGATGCACAGTTGTACGGAGACAAAGTTGCAGAATTTTATAGTCAAAGGTAATCTCTATGCTATGCTTCTTAATTTATAAACTTTTATAGCCATGATGACTTAAGCATTTCATCTGCAAAAACCATTGATGCTTAGAAACTAATTATGTTGTTACTATCACTAATTACATGTATGTAATAGAAATTCTTTGTTTTTCTAAGTATGAATTTTATTACGTAGGGAAAGGCGTAAAATTGCCTACTATTGTCTATTAATTTTTATGCAAACTATAGAGACAGGAAGAAATACATGTACAATGGGTATTCACAACCATTGCATAGGCATTAATTTTTAATGTGTTGGCACCTATCATTTAGTCCATATGGACAAAATTGCATTGCTCCATTCATCAATGGCATTTTAATGGCATTATTCATTATGCCTAGTAGAACATTAGCATAATCACACAGTGTGTGCAAAGAAGATTAGAAGAGTTAAAATGCCACAGTAATAATTTTACAGTTTGCTTCAATTATAGATACATTTAGATCTAGTGAGTAAACAGTAGATCTAATAGAAGTTGATGATTATTTACTATCAGCTTGCTTTCATTAAAAGAATTATGTACTCTTGCAAACATAGTGCTAAAATTGGAAAGGTGGCATTGGTGTACTCCTGGGCCCTGAGGACTAGGAGTGATTATAGTGTCATTCACACTCTGCAAGACTAGATAATATTATAGATCTAGTTTAGTACAAAAATTGAATGGTATCAACTTAATTCAGCCTTCTTGCAACTGGGACAAAATTGAATTTTAAATTCAAATTTCAATTTAATGCCACGCCTAGCCACACCTCACTGACATCAGTCGTTATAGCAACGTAAAGGACAAACATGATTAATGAAGATCAAGCAGCATCAATACCCTCAAACTTATTGTCTACGCTGAAGCAGGACTCTATTCGAGTAAATACTTCTAGTCATAAGGGGTTTAAAGCAGAAAAAAAAGTATCTAATGTCAAGCTTCCACCTCTATCAATTATTACTACTCAGCTGGTAATTACTTAATAATAATAGTAGAGTATTATTATATTGCATTATCATTACACACATGCTACATGATGAGTTATTGTGATACATATATCTTATGTCCAAGATTTATTGTACAACAGACAACTTGCATTCACAAAATTTTACTGTAACAGTGTCTGCTTGCGATTCTTTTACTGTACTGGTAAATCAGGTGTTTGTCTTGCATAACTTACTTACAAATATGCCAGCTTGTGTTGTGTATAGAAGTGATTGCTTTGCTTGTGCATAAAAAGGTGTCAAGTGACAGGTGTTAAAAAATATTCTCAAGTATAAGTTAGCCAATTATCATATTATATGTAACACCTTGCTGTGGTATGATAATTTCTTTAAAAAAAGCTTCATATAAATTTATTTGCATAAGAAGATTGCAAGATAAAATAATAAATTATAGACCAACTGAACTGTAGTGAGTTAAATAAGTACAAAAATGAATTCAGCTCTGAGGTACATGTACAATGTACACATACTAACCATGCCATAGGCAATGAATAATTTTCAAAACCTTTTTAATTCAATCTAAACACTAAGAAATGTGATATTTAATTAATGTTTTAGGACAATTCACCAGGGAATTTATGGAACCATCAGAAACAAAGACAAAAACTTAAATACCTAACAGATAGCACTCAATGTGTTTGTGGTGCTGGAAAGTACGTGTACATGTATAGTCGTATGCATGTATATGTAAAATGTATTCAATTGCATATCAGTATTATTTATACTAGTATGAAGTATTGTATGAAGTCATTCATTTTTGCGATAGGGATATCTCCTTTCTATATGATGCAAGTAGCAATGGTATACGTGTTGCTCCACCAACATCGGTATAAATAATGACTGCTTATATGCACCTTGAGTTACTTACATGTATACTTATTAGACTAGTGCCCCAGAATCTCTTATTCCGAATGAATATCATATTGTAAAACACTCTGGAGTTGTTGGATTAGATCTCTTTGATGAGTATGTGTTTTTCATTTTAAGTTATTGATTCTCTTGTATAGTCCTTACTCTGCTATAGCTGCTGCTCATGAGCGACATGATACCAAGTTTCCTTCCATGTAAAAATTTCATTATAATGGCATGCATTAATGTTATTTTGTTTGTTGTAGGCGACCAACAGGCAGACAAGAAGTGATGCAACTAAAAGTTAATATTTTGATGCCTATACATGTATGTACAGTTAATTGTATATGTGCATGTAGAACACACTGGATCAAATGATAGGAAAAGTCGGTTTAGAAAGTTATATTAAGCACATGGAATTAACAGGGCCTACCCAGGTGAATAAACTTCATGCATCTGTATCAGCTTATTCTTTTCCAATACATGTACATGTAGATGCATAACTTGATACACTTGGTCAAGAAAGAGCAAGAAGTTTACAATATTTGCTTTCATGAATTAATTAGACAGGTATTTGTATGTGTTTCTTATTTTTCTTCATGCCAGAACTTTAGGTGTCTGTTCATTGTTCAGAAAGAGGTGCCCTATTGGCAGAAGTGAGGCAATGCTACTCAAATTTACTAAATAAAATACCTCATCAAGTTAGAAGGTAAGAACATAAACAAATACTGTAGTGTATCATAGATCGACATGATCATAGTCTTCATGATGAAGTTATAGCTCAGAGAGCCTTAGACAGGAAACTTACAACAGAGCTTTGTAGATTTCATCAAGTATTAACAAAATTAACATGGTTAGCTATAATTTATAACATAAAGCATGCATGCATATGTGCATGTGTTGTTTTATACAGTGATTTATGTGAATTGCGGGATCATAATGAATTAGCTGGAGAAGAAATTGAAGAAACTAAAGATAGTGTAAGCTACAGCATGCTTACGTGTACATGTACATGTAGCATTAATGCTCACACTTTTTTAGTTACTGCTTGCTTTGTCTGAATCTGAGAAAAATGCCAAGTATGATGCCAAAAATCACATAATATACATTTAGTTCAAATTCATATCTCTTAAACTTTAGCTTACTAGTTGAATACAGCAATCTTTATGAGCTCCAGCGCAGTCGATTAGAAAATCAAATTGGTAAGTTTGATTAACTGATCAATTTGTACTTGTTTTATATGTCATTTTGTTCTTTTAGAACATTTGTCAAAAGAAAAAGAGTTATGGGAGCAGACTTGTTATTACCTTGCAGTAGAAGTGGCTAATCATTATCAGCTTGAATCAGTTCGACAACTTCAATTAAGTGGAAAGTCATGGGAAAAGTTGGCGAGTCATTTTGCAATTTTATTTTCAGACAAGAATACAAAACAGGTAAATGTACATGCATGCATGTGCATGTACATGTACTGTACTTACATGTGCATGTATGTGTATACAGTATCATCTACATGTAAGTGTACTGTTACATACACTTGTACAAGTACTTATATTTCATATACAGGTACTTACATTGTGTACAATGTGTATACAGCTATGTGTACATGTACATGTAAATTAGAAATACTTGTAATATTGCATACATTAATTTCTGCAATAGCTTTGTATTATTCAGCAAGATGTTCAGAAGTGGAGAAGAGATTTGGCTCTTTTCTTACATGACTTAAAAAATATAGAAGGACACTTAATTACTGAAGTAAGCACTATTGCATTACTTTACTGAAGTGTAAAACATAACAGTTAATGGCAGTTTATGACGGTATGAATTCATGGCTATTGAAATTGAAAGGTTTTAAGTATGTTATGATTAGTATTTACTGTATTGCATATTGTTTTTATTGTGATTTTCACAGGGAATCTGCTTCTGTTCCAACTGATGTAATGGAGAAAACTCAGATTGAGGAGCTGTGGCAGGCACTGACTAATTGGCTTACTGTTTTGAACCAGCTCTCAGAAATATTTTCAGGAGAGACTCTTATGAATCGCATTGATAAGCTACAACTCCTTGAGCACAATGTATCAGGATGGAATGAAATAGCGTTGTCAATCTTACAGCGCCGTGTACAATATTCAGTGATACTGCAAGGAGATGCTCCCATTGGAGCAAAAGATGCTCAGAAAGAGTCTGTTACTGAACTGATGGGTGATGTCAATTCATGTATGAAAGCACTATCACTAAGGACATCAGGAGAAAATGGTAATTTTACTTTCGTAAAGTATTCAGTTAATTTTTTTGCATGCATGCACTTTACTTGCCTTATAGTTTTCTATTTAGATGTACATGTACATGTATGTGTATGATATGTCTTATTGTATTGAATGTACATGTACATGTATATGTAAATGTTTTTGTGTTGTTTCTTAGGAATTGCAGTTGCTTTTGTTCGACTTATAACTCCATTGGAATCATGGTAATAAAATGCTAATAATATTATACATGCATGTGCATCATACATTTATTTACATTATTCTAGGGATACCACTTTTAATTTAATACTTCACAGTGGGAAATCTTTCAATGAATCCACATACTTAAAGTACACTAATAATATTGATTATAATCACCATTATTATTGTTAGGTTAACATCACAACTCGACCAATGGTTATCACACATTTCAGTTGCTTTGGATGGCCTTTCTTCCCTTAAAATACATAATGAAAACCAAAGGTAGAAAGTACATGTTCATATAGTATACTACATGCATATTGTACATGTACATATTATTTTGAATGAACTAACATTTTTATACTGCTCTTATAATTTTAAGCTTTGATGATATCCTTTCTAAAGCTGACAAATGGTGTTCTATTTTCTGTCACGGAGTTCAAGTTGATGATAGCCATGTGATGGAACAAGTACATTGTACACATGCATTAGGTATAGTGTATGAAACGCGTTCATATGTAGGTGTCTCACTTGTATGGTTCAATTATGCAGTGGATGACACAAATACTTTTAACAATTACAAAGAGCAAGTCAGATTTTGAGTCTGTTGATATTGACTCTAAATGTAAAGTTTTATGTGAAAATCTTGCTGCATTCACTGAAGCAATTGTGAAGTTAGTATTATTTTAAAGTAATTACTACTTCAATTTGTACATGTAAATAGAAGCTGTCATTTTCTTTTTGAAAACGATGAGTTCCCTGAAATACAAGACATCATTGATGAAGAAACTGGGCAGCTTCAAACACTTCAAGATGAAGCAAAGAATTGGATACGACTGTCAAAGATAATGACAGAGTTAGAGGAGCGAGAGAAAATAATAGAAAAAGTAGCTCAGGAAAAGAAGCAACCTAGTCCTCCTAAGGAAGATGCAATACTAACTATTGGTATTGATGACAATGTCACAGAAGCAACGGAGCAAATAGTAGTAAAGCAACAGTACTTGTATATAATAATAACATTGAATATAGGATAAACAGTTTGAGAGCCAAGAGTTAGATCTATATACAGAACAAGGTAGCACCAAGTTACTCACATTGTATCTACTATTGGAAACATGTACATTGTCTTGTACTTGTAGATCTACCAGAAGGAAGAGGAGGTCAGCTAGAAGAAACAGAAAAACTTGTTATAGCAATGGACGAATTGAATTCAAAGCTAAGGTACACATATTATTTGTAATTGATGCATGTACAGTAAATCCATGCTTATGCAACTATAGCACGGTACAAGTTGAAGTGACTGCAGAAAAGGAACGAGCTGATAAAGCAGAGAAACTACTTCAAGCTGCAGAGAGCCACATTGAGCAGTTAATGTCTGAGTTGAAACAAATGAAGGAAGAGTCAATTGAGCAGGCTTCTGCTAATAAAAAAGGCAGAAGAGCAAGAACAAAATCTAGAGATATAAAGATGCTATAATTATAACCAGTAACAACCAAAATAATATTATTATGCAATACAGAAAAAATAGTCAATAATAATAATAATAATACTTATTGATTTTACTGAATAAACGTTTTAACTGCTTTACGTAATTCTTTTGACAAATAGTTATACTTGTGCGCTTGATCACCACAATTAACGAAAGTGACTTTGCCAGATTTAGAATTACGCTTAGAAACAGCAGTCTCATACAGCTTCCTCCCTAAATGGTATGGTATGATATAATCATTATGACTGTGGAATATCATGATGTCACATTCAATATGAAGGATTCGATCAATTGAAGAATGGTTCTCATGCATATAGCTGTAAAATATTTCTCCTAATGGCTTAAATGGCAAACCAAAAGGATGGTTGTATGCTGCTTCAACCATATTAGTAAATGGAGCATCCAGTAAAACAGCATATGGTGCAGTGCCAAGCGACTGTAGCGTCAACGTAAGATGAGTTGCAGCACCCGAACCAAGCGAATGACCCCACAAATACACCCGTGCATTTGGAGCCATCTCCTTTATCCACTTCCAGACTAATAAACCATCCTCCATTATGTTATTCTCATTAGGATAACAGTCGGAATCACCGAAGCCTTGATAATCAAAAGTTACAACGTGACAATTTTTCTCTTCTGACAGGTACTTGTACACTCCAATACGAGGATATGTACCTCTTGTTCCTGTATTACCATGAAGGTACAAGACAACTGGATATCCATCAGCAAGGGAGTTGGGAGCCTCTGTAGTACTCACACGTGGAACATACCAAACTCCAATCTTACACTGACTATCCTGGTGTGTCAGAAAGAAGTGCTTCGTTCGATGATGGAGTCCAAACTCTGAAGGATCAGAGAGGTTAGAAAAGAAAGGTATGCGTAGCCTGTTAACATAAATCAGCTCTCTCTGTATCCAGGTACATTTCACGAAGGATAGAGCCGCGAAGGCGTAAAGAAGAAGGAGAACAACAGTAAACTTAAGACAAAAAGAGCACAGCCTCCTCTGCTTAGGCCTATCTTTAGACACATCTCCTTCTGTGTGCTTAGAACTTGCTGAAGAAGACCCTTTCTTTCTACTTCTGACCATCATTAATTAATTTTCATTAATAATAATGAGTTCGTTATCAAAAGACACACCCAACAGTTTAGATAGAGCTAGAGATGTCGGCAAGAACAAGATCAAAGAGACAAAGCAATCTACCTGCATATGTTCAGGGAAAGCTGAAACAAGAAGAAAGGATGTTAGAGCAAACTTTAGATCACTTGGTTCGTGAAACTGCAAACACAATTAGGACAATCTCACAGGAACAACAAGTAATGTCTTCAAAATTAAAAGTCATGGAAAATAGATTGGTGCAATCACAAATTCGCTCAAATGCAATTTTACATCCAAACAATAAATAAATCCAAACAATAAATAAACATTAAAAGTTCAGTGTATTTTATTTAGCACTACTATTATTTTTTTGTCTAACAACATGTTTTAAAAAATATTGATGCCATCGTAAATCATTAGTTAACTCAGGATGAAAACATGTTGCGATGATGTTTTGATATTCAACAGCTACAACAGTCTCCTGATCAGACAAATAACCAAGTACTTTAACATCAGGAGATAAAACTTTACTAATTCCTGGAGCTCTAATGAATATTCCATGGCATGTTGGTGGACCATTGCTTTGTAGCTGTTGAGCTTCATTAATGTGGACTAAACCTTCAAAACTGTCTCTTTGACGCCCAAATAGATTCCTTCTGGACTGAACAGGCAGACCTCCAATCTACAGGAAGAATAATTAGCATATTATATAGCTTCATCACACCTAATAAGTAATAACTATCATCTATTTACACTACATAACCTTCAACATTGGTGTGAAACAAGAAATAATGCATTGGGCTGCCGGACACATTTGTGTTTTATGTGTATAGTACACATGTACATGTAAATTATAAGTTGTGTATGTAATTGTAATAAATAGTGACACGTGCAGAGTATTTTAACTGACTTAATAGCCATTTAATTGCTATTTTATTGGCTATTATTATTATTGATTACTATTGAACTTTGTATTATTGTAACAATTATTGGTAAATGTAAATACAATCATTTCCTTCAGCTCTAAATTAATGTGTTAAATTTTCTGACCATATAAATTGTAGTTGTTTAGACTGCTACTAAAATTGTATTTCATGCCTAGAAGTGCTAATGTCAAATATGCACACGTGCTTGGACAAGAATCTTCATAATAATGGAAAAATATTAATGAAGCAATAGTATTGACATTACTTCATGCATTTATTTAAAATACAAGCTTTACAGAAACAATAAACCCTTGAATACAACCAGCTATATGGCAATACATGTCAACAGTTTAGTGATATGCCTGCAATTAACTTAAAAGCTCTGATAAAATGGAAACTTCATGTAATGCAGTGCACACAGTAGAAAGAATATTATTACAAAAAAAGAGGAGCTTAAAATGTATGTACATGTACATGTATGTAATGAAGTAGAATACTCCTCCAGGCTACAATCAATGTTACTGATATCTTAGTCCTGAATTATCCCACCACCACATTATAACATTCATACCTGTACATGTACATGTATATTGCATGTTATTTTGGGAATTCTGTCAACAGTGTACACATACATTGTACGCCTAGCAGGATACAATATACAGACATGTATTCTATACATGTAACTCGTCAAATTAAGAAATATCCAATCACAAAACAATTAATTCCTTATTTGCTTGTTATATCTTTCTAAAATTTAGATAAATAATATACATGTATTGTATGTTGTTCAAAATACAATTATGCTAGATGCAATAAATGTATTTAATTTACAATGGACAGCAATGCCATAAAATAACAAGTATTGTGGCTAATGTACATGTATACAGTGTATGTGATAGCAATTCCACGATCATGATTCAATCTATAAAAGATGCATAAGTAGTCTTAGCAATCAAAAATAAGGGTCTGCAATAGATAATGCTTCAAATAAATACCCTAACATGGTTTATGAATTCAATTATGTATTAATTACAACCAGTGCACAAATTTAATGCTTGAATCACCACACACACACACACACACACACACACACACACACTGTACAGTTGGAAATCTATTATAACATGTAAGAATTGAGACACTGCCAGAAGCTCTAGAATATTAAGTAAACCTTGGAAGGTTTAGACAGAATAAATAAATGGCTGCTATAAAGTCATAACACTAGCAAGGTTTCCCCACAATTAAAGCATTAGGTGAGCTAAACAGGATGCTTCATAAGCTGAGCACTTAAATTTGTATAAAATTCAGTTTTGATTGGAATCAGCTCAAGATTTCTACAACATAGTAAAACATGCATGTGTATCAGGATTCCCTGGCCATTTTTTAAAAAATTTGGCCAATGTCCTGTAAAACTGTACAGTGTTTTTGGCCAGATTTTGGAGCAACTTACAACTTCGCAAAAAATTTAGAAACAGCTTGAACTTTCTACACAATTATAAGAATATGCATGCATGCATCAGGAAATGTAATAAAAATAGAGCAAATATTTTTGATGAAATTTGTCAATGTTCCTGAACTATATAATACAAGTTTTGCGGCCAGATTTTAAAACAACTTTAAATATTCATAAAAAATTCAATTTGAACAAGCTAAAGATTTCTACACAACATAAGAACACGTACATCCACAAGTAAGTATATCAGGCAATGCAATAAAATTGAAAAATTCTCATTCTTCTAGCTATTTATGTCCCTATAGTTTTTTCACCAGGTGCTAATCAAACTACAAAAATCCAGTGGGAAACCCTGAATCTTAGTAAATGAACACAATGGACTGCTCAACAATCATTAGCATTGCTACACATTGGTATGCAGGAGGGGGCATAGGACACCTGCATACTACTGTATAGCACAAAAATTTTGAGGGCTATAAATTTCGTGGATATCATAATTTTTTAAGATTTGCAAAAATTTCTTCTGCAAAAATCAAATTATTATGGTACAAGATGGCATAAATTCACAAAAAATAAATTTTCAAAATAGATTTTTAGGCAAATTCATAAAATTTACAGGTCTCAAAAGTACTATAATGGTACTATACTGACACTTCACCCATGCTATAAATACATATCACAGAATCACATACCACAGTCTGTCCACCTTCCTTTTGACCCTGTAAATCATCAGCCAGTAGAATTAGACCAGCACACGTACCCCAAACTACTCCATGTCCAGATATCCATTTTTTTATAACGTCAGTAAAACCATTCTGAGCCAGGAAAACGCTGAGAGTTGTGCTCTCTCCACCAGGAATGATCAAACCATCTAAATCCTTCATATCAGATGGTTTCCTGATCTCTCTTATCTCCAAAGACAGAGCTTCATTATCTCTAATTTCTTTCAGCTTTTTAATATGTTCTATGAATGCTCCCTGAATACATAAAACACCAACAACAACCAGTGAGTCCCTCTTTGAATCTTTCATTGATTGCTCTCCGGCTTGTTCTTCAGCATTGCACAATGCGGCCATTTTTAATCTAGGGTAGACCACACCTATCTTTAAATCTAACTCCGCCCAATATTATACAAACAAGTCAAACATTAACAGCAATGCCAAGAAGAAAACCTTTTAGTTCCAAGCAAAAGAAAGAGCAGTTGCAAAGAAAAAGGCAAAAGAAAAGATCTCAAGGTTAATATTTTATTATCTTGATTGCACAACATGTTACTGTAGACCTACCAACTTTGCACTCTATTTTATTATGTTGATTGCACAACCTACCAACTTTGCACTCTATATATATCTAGTGACATGTAAGAATAAAAGAGTAATGATGATTAATTAGTTTTTATATAGGACAGAATGAAGGCCAATCACTTAGTGCTGTAGTGCCAGATCAAGTTGATGAGGAACAGGTCTCGTCTTCTGAGAGTGATAGTGAGACTGAAGAAGCTGTTGAAAAACAGTCTGAGCTTCCTAGAGTTGTTAGTAAACTGGGACATCAACCAGCTCAATTGCATGGAAAATATGATCCTAATAGGTATTGTTGAAATTTTAATTACATATGTATGTGTCATTTGCAAAGTGATACAATTACTTTGAGTAAAAATAATTTCTAATAATTTAGGTTTCGTCTTCATTTTAATGCAGAATCGCAAGAAGAAATAGACAAAAGGAAGCATATAGCAAAGACTAGAATAATTGTTCCAGTTGAGGAGGTGATCACCATGATACATGAAGATTTAAATAAAATACTGAAATCTTATTGTTATTAATTAGAATATGCTTGAAGTTAGTGTTGATGATATTTATCAACCTGGGTCAGTCCTGGATTTTCCTAAGAGACCACCGTGGACCTATAAAATGAGTAAAGCTGAGGTTTGTGATAAAAATTAAACAGTAGTGACTAGTGAATATCAATTCTGCTACTCATCTTGTTTGTTATTGTTTAGTAGCAATTAATTGTAACCATCATTTGTCCTTGCCATTTTTTCATTACAAATACACACAATGATGGTTTTGTCACGCAATGATTACATGTATATTAAATTTATTATCTTGAAGATTTTCTATTATAAAGTACACTACTTTAGGTACATAGGAAAGAAGAAGAAATGTTTACTGAATATTTGGAGAATATTTATACTAAATATGGGGACAAAAGCCTTAGTTATTTTGAGCATAATCTTGAAGTAGGGAATACACGTATGTATAAGTGTTTATTGTTTACTGAATAGACATGGAGACAACTGTGGCGTGTTTTAGAACTGTCAGACATCATTTTACTCATCACTGATATCAGGCATCCAGTATAAAGCTCCAACTCTTCTCTTATTAATTTTTTTTTACTTATAGGTGCTTCATTTCTCACCTGCTCTTTATGATTATGTAGTTAATGACCTCAAAAAGACACTTGTACTAATTTTAAATAAAGTTAGTATAAACTAGACAGACTTCAATTTGTTGTTATGTTATTGCATGTACATGTAGGTTGATTTGGTACCTCCTCAAGTTGCTGTGGCTTGGAGGCATTATTTCTTACATCAATTTCCTCATTTGCATGTTGTGTGCTTTACTTGCTATCCGAACAGTGATGTATCTACAGAGGTCAGTCAAAAAGGTATACTTGCGAATGAAATGAGCATGTGTTGTTATTTCCTGGCATTTATTACAAACGTAGTGAAGCTGAAATCTAGAAGGAGGAGAGGAAAAAGGTTGTCTGCTGTTGGTCCTAAAGAATTATTTGAAGTCATTGAAAGAATCTATAAAGGAAAAAGTACTAATACTTCATAATTGCTTATTTTGTTACCATTAATTTCAGTCAATTTGTCTCATGAAACCGAATTACAAAGTTCAAAAGAATTTCTTTTACCTGAGATTGACAAGGAATTGGTTGAATCAGATAATGTATATACTATTGGGCTAGTAGGTGTGTGTGTGTGTTGTATCTTTCTGTGTTATCTTTTTTACATGTACTTTCTTCAAAGGCCACCCAAATGTTGGTAAATCATCCATTCTTAATGGGTTAATTGGGAAAAAGGTTAGTATTTTTGCATCTATAATTATTGTTGTTGTGGCATTTGTATTTATGTGTAATTTACAGTCTGTTAGCACATCAAAAACTCCTGGTCATACAAAGCATTTACAAACAATATTTCTCACACCGACAGTCCGTCTCTGTGACTGTCCTGGTCTTGTATTCCCATCACTCATTGAGAAACAATTACAAGTATAGTGTTAGTTTGTGTATCACACATGGTTAAATTTTAGTACTACAGATACTTAGCGGAATCTACCCTATTGCACAAGTGAAAGAGCCATATACTAGTATAGGGTATCTTGCTGAGCGAGTGCCCCTTGTTGAGTTGCTGCAGCTATCTCACCCTGAGGAAGAGAAAATGGAAGAAGGTGATACAGTTGGTGGTGCTATTGCTACTGTGTCAAGTGAATCTTCCCTAAATTGGACAGCGTGGAATATTTGTGATGGTTAGTAGTTTCTTAAAATTACTAAGCATAAGGTGTCGCTTTTTGTAGCATGGGCTGAAAAGAAACAATACTTCACAGCCAGAGCTGCAAGATTAGACACTTATAGAGCTGGTAAGAGTCACAATTATTGTTTTTTTTTAATTTTAATTCCACATAGCAAATCATTTACTAAGGCTTGCAAGTGATGGAAGAGTTTGCATGTTTTTTATGCCACCTGGTTATTTAGCTGAAAAAGGTATGACTTAGGACTTAACCTAGGTATCACTAGATTTTAATTTCAGAGGGCTGGGAAAAGAATCCAGAGGTTGAAAGAATGATATTATTACAAAAGCAAGGAATGAGTACAAGTGATAGTGGGACACTGTTGTCATTGACTTCTGAATCAAGTGATGAAGAGTCTAACAGTCCACCAACTGTTCATTCTAATAAATTTACAGCTCTACTTGACATAGAAGAGTCTGACTAAAAATTGCAGACAAGAAAGTTTTATACCTCATTTAAATTGTATTATAATGTAACTGATTTCTGTTGTGTTAGTTCTATGCTACTAAAATTATTTCAGCTTAATGATGTATGAGTCATCCGAATTCTATCTAATTTTTAATCATTTTTGATTGCTGGTCCATAAAGGAGTGCTTCTTGATCTCGGTCTTCCATGAATGCTATTAACAAATCCAACAGTTATTTGTGGAGTGGGGGCACTGTAATGTCTTCTTTGTGGATTCACCGATCCTTCACTATCCTGCTGACTTCTTTCCTTCTCAGCACTTTGATGATGCTTCAAAGTTTCCTTATTTTTAGGAGGAAGGAAGGTTGAAACAGTGACTGGCAGTTCATCATTTTCTATGTCAGTAGATGCTTGGATCCTTGGCAATGTAGAAATGTCAGTGTAATTGTCAGATCTTATTCTAGATGAATCAGAAGAACTAGATCCTGATGCAAAAGAATCATTGATTTGAACTTGCTCGAATGGTCGTACATACGAAAACATTGTGTTAGATGTTTTGCTGAAACGCTGAGTGAGTTCACTGTTAAGTTCTTGCTGTAATTGCTCATGTCTCCTGATGAGACTGAAAGAAGACAAGTCTTCTGATTCAGTATCTTGTTTTTTTAATTTGATAGCTAAAATATATAAATACATGTAGATATAATATATTCTGTGACGTACCATCTCTGTATATTTTATCACGAGCTGCCTTTAGTTCCTATGGTGAAAAATTATAACAATGTAAATTGCTAAGTTATTCTGACCAAGTGAAGTTGCAATCTTAAGTCTTTGTTCACTTCCTTTAGAGCATTTGCCAAAGAAGCAAAGTAAGAGATAACAATGCTAAATTAGAATAATTAGCTATGCCAATGCATCATTCTTACCACAACAAGCCTATTAATGGTATTATTATAGTTGGGGTGTTCACATAATTGACTACTGTTTGTATAATTACTGGCCACCTATCTATTTCATATGTTACAGCATGTGACATGCTAGGAAGGCCCCTATACATTTAAACCTATAATACTATAAGGTAGTATAAATCCACACTTACCTGAATGGTCCACATGTCGTTGACGGAACTTCTTGTATGACTGCATAGCTGATAGGAAAAATGCACAAGAAAATATTCAACAATAATAATGCCATGTAGAATGTTTTTGTCGATGCCACTCGAAATAATGTCTGTGGTGGCTTATTAAATAAAGATACTACAAGGGCACGTATGTAGAACAGTAAAATATACTTCAGTAAATTAATAATAGGTAAAAGAGGGCAGAAGAGGACACCAAACCTATGAAACACTCATAGTGATACAAGCAACATTGATACTATACCATACTAAAGCCTGTCCATATACAAGTTTCAAAATATTCCTTGCTAAATTGAATTCAGCAAGGCCAAACTGTAAGTGACCAAAAATGATAGTTATTTGCAAAATTTAACCTACCTTTTCACTAATTCTTGGACATATATATGTTTTAACTGCTATCCATCGAGCAATATCAACAACAGCTATACTGAACAACTCGGCAAAGAAATGTGTTATAGAGAGCTTGTATAATTCCTGTCCCATTACAGTTTCCCAGCAGCAATAATTCTCATCACTATCAATAAATGTTGCATTTGTTAAAACAGTAGTTGTATTTTCCTATCAATGCACAAAATAATGTTCCATTATCTAATAATAATTATTATTCTTACACATGTCCTATTAAAAGTAAACAATGCAATGATTAGTACATACAAGCTTGTTATGTATAATACAAATAACCTAGATTTGCAAAGTCAATTGGTTTAGTAGTAAAAAAATAACTTACCTTGCAAGCATTACTTTTAATGCAGTTCGTGGATGATGCTGCTCAATTAATTGAGCCACTTGGAACATTATTGGGAAAACAAAGTTACAAGTAACTATTACTGCTTGAACCTATATACATTTATACAAAATTTACAATGGCACTTACAATTAAAATTAATAGCAAATACTCATACCTGAAATGAGCGCATAATTAACCATATTCCTTTCAGTCCTAACTTAAGAGCATCAACAAAGTTGACAGAAACAGTAGAATAGTCAATATTTTCAACTGCCAAATAAATTGCATATGCACTGGCACACAACAAAATAAATAAAACTACATGAACAGCAAGTCGTATAACTATCAACTTCCAACTAATAAATTGAAAATGAAAATACATAAAATAAGTAAATTAATGACAACACTAACGATGTTTGTCTGTCATTAGAATCTGCTTCTACAATTGTTTCCTAATAATAAATTAAAATTTATAAAAAATAAAGAGCAGATTTTACTTTAAGCAAAGTAGTGAGACGAAGACGCTTATAGACTGCTGTTTCATGTGAAGTAATGGTAAAGTCCCAACTTGCAAACACCTTCCAAGCAAAAAGATATTGCTCTGAAATGCTTGCCTTCTGTAAAATTTTGTACTTCTTAACCATTCTACAAAAAATAATAGAGCTTATATATGGTTTCATAATTCACAAAAATTATATTATGCACCTGACTAATATTGCTAATATGCAAACAACAAATATAGCTGCAATAACTCCTAAGTATGCCAAAGGTAATTTATATCCTGTTCCTATAGCTGGGTTAGGGTTATGTGGTGGAGCTACGTATGGCTCATTCTTTCCACTATCATAAAATCCATGAAATAAAACTGAATACTCAAGTAGGTATCCCTAAAAAATGATTAACACACATTCAGCACCATTAATTGTACAAGTGTTCACTTTTCCATCCACAATGAATGACAATGGTGACCCATTTTCCCGAATTTGAGCAGGAACTTGCAATCCATGCCCACTGCTTGCCTGAAAAATCAAGATAAATAAAATTATTTTTATTGTCCTCATACCTGTGGGAGCACAAGAAATGCCAAAATAATAAATGACATGATCAAATTAAGAGCACATAACCATCGTAAGAAGTTAAAAAATGAGGCAACACTAGAACCAAATCGTCCTTTGCATGAATAGTAATAAATATTATAACATACACAGCAATCCACCTTCAATTCTTTTAATGATAGAATTCCATATTGTTAGTGACGACCTAATATTTCGAAACCTCCTACGAAAAGCTCCTGTTGCTATGGAAAAATTATCTTTGAACGTATCAAGTGTATTCATTTGGCCAGCATAAACTGCAACATTTTCCTTGTACATCCTATGCATTAATAATCTTTGACTCATTAAAGAAAGTAATGACTTACATAAGTGCAGCCATTTTCATTTGCATTGGCCATGGTTGTGAACGAAAGTTATTGATGATTTCACGTTGCTCCTTTACATATTTATGCACTTCGTTACTGCTAAGCAATTGCGGTATCACTGGTTGAGATGCTACTGCCATTGAATGGTCACTGATTGCACGAGTACTACAAAACATTAGCATCATTAGACATCTAGACTGAAACATGTACCTAGAGTTTTCCAAGTATCTTTGTCTTGCCATAAACTCAGACTCACTCATTCCAGCCCTGCTTAATCCAGTTCTGCTCATTTTTTGGCGTTGGCGTTGCTCATGACTTGACTCACGATGACGATCTATGGAATGTAAGCAAAAGGGGGGCCGCACCCAATGAGATGCTGTGGTTTACAGAAACGCTCAAACTATTTTAATTTTTATGACAGGCGGCTGTGTGAGGGGTGAGAACTAAACAAAACTTCGCTAGAAATCAACAGTTTGTTGTTTAAATCCTGTTCTCTTTACAACGGGCCTAGCTTTAAAGCAATCATGTCTCTTGACAGAGGCACAATGGGGCGGCTTTCAGTACAGAGGCTCTCAAAGCGATTCAGTAAGTTCAATAATGTGAATGTGATTAATTTTGTGGCTCGTGTCAAAAGTTCTGAATAGCTTACCCATAGTATTCAGTCTTCTTTCACAAGACAGTAGACTACCTTTGCTTCTCAAAATAACAACGTTGCCATGGGGAAGTGTGCCGTTATTGACCGCCCAATGTAAAACCTGCCACAATGTTTCTTGGGCCTTAGACCTGACACTAATAATCTGATAATTATAGCATTTTAGTAGTTATTATCACTTTATTTATAAACTAGCTCGCAATAAAGAGTATGATCGAGTAGATGATACCTCTGATACTCGTGTCCCTTTGTACAATGAAGAGGCTTTTCAGCATGGGCTGAAATTTAAAGCAAAGGTAGGCAAGTTTTAAATTATAAATTGACATGCAGCCTATTTTATGTTTTATTCATAGTACATTGGTAGTGCCGAGATCCAAAAGCCATCATCTAAAATAGATATCATTACAGCTATGAGGCGGATTAGAGTAAGTGTCAGTTAGCATAGTTATAACCTTATAGCTTATTTTAGTATGAGCATAAAGTAAAAGGTGTTAAGAAGCAAAGATGTTTAATTGATATATCCACGACAGGGGTTAAAATAACCAAGAGAAAGCGAAGAGTATGTCCAAATGTACTCTTATAATTATTTTAAATGCATATTCTTTAGAAAAGGAAGCAGTACACTGAGGAACAACTCTTTATGATGCAGCATGCCATTTACAGGTAAGTGTGTGTAATGCTTTGTGTCAGCTTTGATTCCTGTCTACACTTTAAGCCACTTGGGAATACTCTATAGTGTATCATTATGCTGGTTTTGATAGGATATTTTATGTATCACATGATTCTCAAGACTTGAAGATATTCAGTTACATCACTCGTGAAGTGCCTAGCAATACTTTTAAATGCAATGTATTCAAAGCATACAAGAAGGTACAGTAATTAATAATAGGTGACTTAATTTGTCAGCTACTTCACTTTATAGTACATGTACATGTACCCATACATGTGTATTATGTTGTGTGTGGCATGCTAATTGTACAACTTAATATCTTGGAGATTTGTATCAATATTGTCTAACTGTCTATTATATAGTGTTTCTTTACATTCTTGTGGTTAGCATTTATATCTTCCTCTTAGCGTATGGCTCTTCATGTAGTAAGAAGTTTAGGACAAGCGTTTGATGTTTGTCATAAGCTAAACCCTCGACCAAAGAAAAAGAAACCTGTTCAAACAGAGGAGAAAAAGTCAGAAGAGACAAAGACGGAGGAAAAGGAAGATGAAGAAAAGAAGAAGGACAATGTAGAGGAGGTTAAAGAGCCTGAAAAGGATAATGATATGGCAGCACCAAATCAATCAGTAAATACTGCTCAGGAACCTATCGCCAGCAATAATCCTTTTGAGCCTCCACTACCCCCTCTTATTGACTTGGACCCATTAGCACCTTTCAATCTACCAATATTGCCTCCTGGTAAGAATAATAATACACGTAACATTCAAGTTATTATCTTTATAATAGTGCCTTCTGGTATGACTGTGACACCAACCACTACTCCTACTGGGTTTGTTGGCAGACCACGTCCAAGACCAGGACAAGTATGTCATTCTCCTGTTGCGTTTAATGCGTATTTATAATGTCATACTGTTAGAATACAATACAAGAGAATCCAATGATGGCTGGTTCTTCAGACAGTGTGAAAGCTATCAACATATCACCATCAGTATCCCTTGGAGAGCCACTGAACAGTGTTGATGGAGATACCTTGCCTCGGGATCATGAAAAGCAACAATTGAGTGCACAGCTTACTTTGATAACAGAACAACTTCATACCGAGAGAGCAGCCAGGATAGAATCAGAGGTAAATATACTGCAATAACAACTTTGTTGGTTTATGATAAAACTATTTTATGATAAGATGTTTGTTTATTTTATTTGTAGGCGAGAGTTGAGCATTTGTTGATGCAAAACAAAGAATTGTTATCTCATCTACAAAAGCTAATGGTGCAGTTACAGCAGCTCCAATCCTTACAGATGAGTCAGATAACACCTCCCAAATCAACTCCTCCACTATCAAAAAAAGGTCAACCTTCTCCATCAGAAATGACCCCACCTAACACAGACCACAGTGAGCCATCCAACTCAGAGGTCAATCTGGAGCATATGAAACTCGATAGCTCACCAGAGGAACCTCCCAAGCCAACACCAAATGTTACGGATGAGCTGCCTCTTCTTGATGATATCAATGAGCTGAACGACTCTAACTCTGACAAGGTGGAAGATTTCAACACTATTCATTTGGTCTCGCAAGATGATTTTGATGCTGCCTTCACACCTCAACCTACTAATGATCCCTTTACTCCCATTAAGCCTGATGACTCATCTCATGATCAAGCCACTCTAGATGCTGCCTTTACTCCAACAACAGTAACTGTTGCATCATAAATCAGAGCTGACGTTAGTTGACTATAATGCCTTTTAAATTTTATTATTCCCTCCAGTGATGCATGTCAAGTGTGTTTACTGTCAAATGTACTTGTAGCAGTACAGTATATTATTTTATTATAAGTAAAATATTCAAAGTAATAATTATTATTATGATATGCAACTTTTTGGCTAAAGAAAATTGGAAACAAAACTAAGAATTAGTAAAAATTAATAATGATTATTAGCCACGAATAAGAAGGTCCCAATGTGATCTCCATCGTCGCCACATTATTTGAGGCTTTGTAAGTGCAGGGTAACCAAATGCAAAAGGAGCAAATAGAAAAAATGTCACTAGAACTGAAAAACAATAAAGAAAAACTAATCCTTGATAAAACAATTTCATGAGTTTCGGATACCTACAGTGTGCATGTAAGTAAATAAAAACAGGAATAAAAATTACTACTACATGCTTACCATTTGCATCTGTTAGCCCAATAGTATCCATGATCAAACAATGCTGCCAATAACATGAACTTGAAAGGAAGTGCTGGCAAATAATGGTGAAGAAAGAGAACTCTTGACAGTAAAAAATAAGGAAAGTAATGAGCAGACCATCCTACCATCAACACCAATCCAGATGTCCAATATTGCTCAAAAACAACTACAATGTATAACAATACGAATGAGACTATAGACATGCATGACAATCATGTTAATTACCTGGTGGAATATCATTGATATTTCTTCTTTTTCGTACAAGATAGAATAATAATACAACAGAGAAGATTCCTATACCTCCAGTACCAGACCACCACAATACTGGATTACCTAATAATGTGATTTGAGCCTACACAACACAAAATTGAGTTAAAACTACACGGCAGCGAGAACACGTCATTCATTAACATACATTAGTTTTATTATGCAGCCAATATGGTAATGTTTTCCCTAGTAAAGGCCACTGAGCAGGACTGGCCCCAAACTGATGATCGCCCAGATTACCATGAGCTGCTAACATTCTACCCTGCATTTCAAAGTATTTCTCCCAAAATGACATAGTAACATTAGGATCACGAGGGCGACGAGATGGTAAAGGCTGAAATTGATTAGCTGTTTCATTACGAAGTGTTTCCTCTTCTTCCAACATTTCATCAGTTGAATTAACATGATTAGCATCATCCATTACCCATAAAGTGTGAGACGACTCCACTGCACGATCAGTAGCCACCTACAATAATACATGCACCATAATTAGCTGTACATGTTATACATGTACACACTGTACTAGGCAGTGGCTTACAATAATGCTTTTCACTAACCTCAAATTGTTGAAATCCCCATTCAGGCAGTCGTGATCCAGTACACTAAAAAATTTAAACAAATTTAAAAAGTCTATTTCACAGAATGACCACAAAATAGATTAATCCTGTTTTGATTAAACAAACTGCATGTACATAAATTATGAGTATCACTATATACATAGATCAGACCACACTGATCAGATCATGCACCACTATGGCATTATCGTTACTACAGGAAATCCTACTATTTCACTATAATAATCATTGAATAGGTTGTGAAAACTAACTGCTTTACTATACATATTTAATTAACAATTCATAATTGTAATTGGAACAAGACAGCAATCTTACCGCCATTGCTTGATTACTGTTGACATGAATGAATCTAAACTTAGTCTTTCCAGAAGCCCAAAATACAGGAATGTCATCCTTCACACCTTGCAATTCCTAATGGAATAATAACAATAATAAACAACACAATATCACATACTATTCTCCAATGTAGGTAAGGTATAAACTTAGCAGAGTAATTGATGTAGCCAGCAATCTCTTGATTAGCAGGAGAGAGAGGAGCAGCCACATCATGACTGTTGAGCAACTTCTCAGTTTTAGTGTGAACCAGTTCAATAACATCATTATTCCTCACAGGATCAGTATCATTAGTAGGTATTGATGGATCAGATGGACTATAGGATTAACACATCATAGAACATACTTATTAACATGTTCAGAACATGAATGACAAAACTCCTCCAAGGCTCCAACAGTAAATACATGCATGTACATATACATGCATGTACATGTATATGGGTCTCAGTCTCTAATGTACTCCTCCCTTTTTCATAAGGCAAACTACTATAATACCGAGTTTTCCAGTGCACTATGTTACAGACAAACATTAATGAAAGTGTCTATACACAGAACCATTTTCAACAATATCATTCAACTAAAAGGCATATGCCAACATAAAAGGATCAACAATATTCATAACACATTGACTAATCTTTACATGTATGTGTACATGTAGCAGTACATGTACACCCACAATATCTATATGTACATGTACATGTATGTACAGTACAACAACTGTATACTTTGTAGAATTACAATACATGCAGTTTGTTGTATCAATACAATGTATACATGCATGCATAGAATATCACCATTATAACGTTAAAATAAAGAATTTTATTTCAGAACAAAATAATGGCATTATAATTTTGCATACTTTTTCCACAAGAAATGCTACAAATAATAAAAACAACCTTGGGTCTTAGTATGCACATACATTTAAAGACTGAAGAGCTATCTCAATAACTACATGTAGAAGAATGTAAAACATTAAGGGGATCTGCCCCATATAGCCATTCGATCATCATAAAATTAAGTTATTTGACTTTAATAATAGTTAGACAAACCATCAATCCGTACAGATGCACTTCACCACTAAGGGCTTTGCCCAAAAATAAATGTCATACTTTAATTCCATATTGTACATACAGTATGTCAAAGAGTTATTAATACTGCCACTATTTTGTTTTTTTACACAAAATAGTGGACTTCAAATACAGTACTTACTGTGGTTACACTACATGGCGTAAATGCACTCACAGCCATAGAGTAAACATACAAGAACTCAACATATGCAAATGCAAATTATGTAATACATGTAATTGCGCAAAATTCATTTTATGTATAAGACATTTAGATTTACATGTAGTTACTTCCATGTACATATAGTTACTTCCATACAATGTTGATTGTCTGTTTTATCATGTACGTGTACATATACAAGTAAGCAACAATGAGTAGTAGCTGACTATCAGATACTAAGAAGAAACACGTTAAGTGCTGTGACAAGAAATCATAATGTGTTAATTATGACAATTAAGTGTCACAAAACGTACATCTTGCAAAATTTTATGCATATAAATTACTATAGCAATAAATTAAATTATTATGCATGTACAGTACTTGAACTCAAATTTAATAGTCTTAATTCCATTGAAAAAGTGATAACAGTGGGTATGCGAAGCATGCATATACATAAAAAATAATACACACACGGTACACATGAAACTACATGTACATGTATGCATGTGCACTAGCTGATACAATATTGCCACTAAAGTTTTATAATAAAATATTAGCTACTTTATTTTAAAGGCATAATAGTGGCATGATAATATTGCATACTTTTTCCACAAGTAGAGCTACAATAATCAAACAAAACTTGGGTCTTAGTATGCAAATATTCCTATTGAAAGACTTTGATCTCAATTAAATATACAATTAAGTGCACTTAAACGAGGAAAGCAAATAGACAAAAATGAAGGAAAACTATTTCAAAAGCTATCTTAAGGTATTCCTTACATTCCAGGTTTCCTTATAGTCCAATAATTATTTGGATCACGAAACTCATAACAAGTGACTTGCTGTTGATAACTGGAGCCACGCCCATCAGGATACTTGAGAGGATAAAGGTCTTTATGGGAATGCAACCAGCAGGAACTATCTTGATTACGAAATGAAATACTAGCACCATATCTTAACACTAATAGGTGAAGGAATAATCAGATGAAATATTAATAACATACGTGTTGAGTTTTCAGGCACAGAATATCTAACAGGAGGAGGAACAGGACTGCCCTAGAAAATTTAATACATGAACCATAAAAATACATGTTACATGTTATTATTTGGAGAATGAAATCTTTGTTTTATGAGAGCAGCATTAAAGAATGGGATACTTCTCAACAACAAAATAAAAAATTGTCAGAAAATTGTTTGCCAAACAAAATATACAATACAGTGATACATTGGCCCACTACTACATGCACATTATTACACTTTTTACATAAATGCTATAAGGCAAAGAGTTTCATTATTAATTTCATGCCATCGTTTTAAGTAGAATGACACAAAACAGTAGCTACATGTACTGTATATAGTACCTTTAGAGTGTCTTGGAAGTCTAGAGACACAAAAGCATTGCCTGGGCCAGCATTGACCAACACATAAAAATGAATGTAGAATAAAACAAAGTTCATGAGTAAAGGTATTCCAAGAAGGTATGCTCCACGATGAGCCATATGAACAAACAGATCCAACTATAATAAAAATAAGAAATAAAACAAAAAGATCTCAAGAACGCACCAAATCTTTATGCAGTGGTGGGTTAGGCTCAGGCCACTACAAGACAATGAAGTTACAAACACAATTACATGTACACTATACCTTGTCCACTGCTAAATCACCTACTATCTGCCATAAGTCACAGAGACCAAGCAATCCAACACAGCCAACAGCAATGAGGCCAGTATACTTGACACTATAAATTGCATGCACAATTAAACAATATAAATAAAGACTAACCCAAGCAATATTCCTAAAGAAATCCCAGTTATGGCTAGCCAGCAATGCCATCTCCTGCTATATGACCTACATGTATATAATGATGTAAAATAATTGCCAAGGCATATTATACAATTACATTAACATATGTGTAATACAATGTACATGTACATGTAGACTAAGTTCATATTATTTTTAGAAATGAAAAAAATAATTGTAATAGCCACAAAATGATATGATACTAGATAGTTTAGAATATCTACTCTAAATTCAATTTCATTGTTTACCACAATGGCTCAACCATAACACCTGAAATACTACTACTACTATCATGAGATACACACAATTACACATACAATAAGATACTGAAATAAACAATCAAGTAAGCGACTCTCTAATTGAATTCATTTTGACAAAAACTCAATCACTGTACAACAAACAAGGATAATGATACAATTTAGGAACAAACACGCATAAATTCTATTTATAACTTTAAACTTACACTGCTCTACAATGATACACTTTCAAATAACCTAAAACAGACAAATACGTGAACAAGATGACAAAAGAGTCCAACATAATCACTCGACTCTGAATCTGGAGTGAGTTATCTATAAGGAATGCAAACGAATAAACCAGAAACAGACACAAAATACAATTACCCAATAGAGTAAAGAAACATGCCAACAGGGCACCTTTATGAGTAAAGCCTAGCATCACCATTATCTATAGTAATAATAAACTTGTGTATCTGTACTCATACAAATAGAATACATACTTCATATATAGTTGGAATCAGTAACGCACCACAAAGTGCTGAGGCTCCACGCATAATAACATAAGGAACTTCAGAGGGAAATTCTATTTAAATGAATTATGCACTACATCATACAGCATATGCACAATGTGATTACCTTCACCAATAGTGGAAAACAGGAAGGAGCCATCAAAGTCATTCCAGTAACCTACCAGACAAAACAGACAATAATTAGGACATTAAGAATTAACCGTGCACACGGAAAGGCACATATACATGTTAATGTAATATGCCTACATGCAATAGCAATGAACAAGAGGAAACACCTAATTGAGGGACACGAGCCCATCAACACTTGTAATAAATAACTATTGATTCAAATACATGTACATCTACATGCATATAAAAGCCTCTCCAAATACGACTATAACAACAACGTAACTATTAGCTCCAATAATCTATGACAATTAGAGCATAGCAAGTACACCAATACCCTGGCAAATACAATAGGGAGAGGAACATTTTTGATTTAAAAAAAGATAAAAACAAAAAAATATTGTACTTTGGCTGTATAGTGGAATTCAATACAAATAACATACATGTATACAACTATTTGCCAAACAGAATCACTATAAATACACACAACAGTGCCAGAAGCTTACATGATCATATACATGTACTAAAAATGCTAAAACCAACAGATACATGCATGTACACGTACATGCAGTGACAGGAGTGTACATGTTACCTACCAATCAATGCAAAAATGAGTTTCCCAAGAGGAGGATGAACATCAAAGAAAAAAGTTTGAGATAAGTAGTAACTAGCAAACTTTCCAAAATGAACTTCATCAAAACTATACGCAGAATAAAGTACAGTATTAGACATTGTTTAAAAAAAGAATTAATTTTCATAATTTATCAGTATGAACAAACACAGGAATGATGCCAAAATCAATAATAATAATTATTATTATAAATCTTGTTATGGTGATTTCCTTATTAAATATAATTAGATTTATATACATATAATTATAACAAACTAATGAAATGCATATTACAGCAAATTAGTGCTTCCCTTTACATGCATAAAGATCTATTATAACTATATGTTAGCTAGCTAACTTACACTACACAGTTAGGAAGATCAATTCTCCAGAACCGAATTATAAAAGCGAATACAGTCATTACCCAGTACAGGATATTAACAGTCACTGGTACATTCCACCATGGCTTTTCAGAACTGATTAGAAACCACATTGTAGGTGGAGGGGGTGGACGTTTGATCAACCTACAAATAAATAAAAGAGAGAACTTAGTGATTGAAAATCAGTTATCACTGATCATGCAATTATTATTAATAAAAATAGTAGGTGGTGTTGTGTAGGAATAGTAATCAAAGTGTGGGTCAAACTCAACACACTTAAAAGTGGTGATGCTAGGAAGATATCAAAATGTCTACAACATTGATAATAAATACATGTACATGTACACATGTATCAGTAAATGTACACATCATGTTAACACTGGTACACCTTAATGACTGATTAAGAAAAGGATTAAATATTTAGAAAATATAAAAACAAGGAACAACATGCAAGTATCAAGGAATGGTGAAATACATGTAAGTAGTAACCCTTTCATTTCATACTGATAATAATATCAAATGACCTACCTAACAGTTTTAAAGCCACCCTGTCCATCATGTACTTGGACTAGTTCAGTTTGTATATGAGATGGTGGTGATTGATACTGTGGTGGAGGAGGAGTACCCTGTTGTGAAACATCTGATGATGTGACTTCTGATGGAGTGGCTTCTAATTGTGTTACTTCAGATTTAACTTCAGACTGAACTTCAGGCTAAAAAAGAAAAAAATACTAATGCTAATATACATGCACAAGAACATGATCATGTAAATTAAGTTTAACAACACAATTTGCTATCCAAAACGGTACTATCATAATATTGCTTTGCAAGCTTCCAAATAGAAATGATCAATTGTTGCATAAATATACTATTGACATGTATGGACACATGGTTATTGCATCAGTTCATTCTCTTTGTATATGAATAAATTAGATTTATCCTTAGAGTCCATTAGTCCAATCAAGGAAAAGATTTTAAAATGGTGATAGCTGATAGCCTGATTAGTGTTGCCATATTGTGAAAAAAATCTTGGCGAATTTGGCAAATTGAGGTCCATTTGACAAATTTTTACGACCTCCTCCAGGTCGTCCTATAATTGATTTCACCCACGTGCGATATATATATATTTGTATGTCAACATGGACATAAACTATAAACTTAACACTTCAAAATTTCTAGCTATACAGTAAACTTTCCTGGCAAGAAACACAATTTATTAATAAAACACACTACAGCACTCACCCACACACAATCAACAATAATTACCGTATCGAGGTTATTATTTCACTGGGAATAAATTTAGCATCTTCATTAAATTTGCAAGATCAAATTCCACAAAAAAGTTGTGGCACACTAGGAAAAATGGCTACAGAAGGTAATATTTGCAAAAATTTATACCAACAAATGGTAAATCCAAACAAATTCACAAAATTTTAAGATACATGTACATGTATAGTATAGCAAGTGCCACATTATAGTCATCAGGCTGAAGGGCATATCACTAATGTTAACAAAAGATTAGAAAATAAATTTATTAAAGGTTAGTATGTCCATTATTATCAACAACAACAGAAGAGATCATGTACATGTACATGTACATGTATGCTCCCCCAAGCAAATGTCTGATTTTAATGTTGAATCATAAAAGTTGAATATAAGTACAGATGCAAAATGCCTATCTTAAACATGTTCATGATGTGGTAAAAAAAAGAATTCCCTGGAAGTTGTAACTTTTAGCTTGTCATGTCTACAGTTATGATAAGCACAACCACATACAATAAATAGGAGGAGAGCAGTAATTTCTAGGGGTAGCTCCAAGGGAAGAACCCAGGGGATATAACATAGGATGAGAATGCATCTTTGCAATGTTTGCATTCTGTATATAAGTAGCTCAGATCCTTCTCAGAGGTTAGATTTAGCTAAAGAAAGTCTAAAACAAGAGATAAGACAGCAGCTAGGCAACACCAGTGGGCCAAAAAAATTCAAGACTTTGCCTATCAATACTATAACAACGGTGCTCTTATTGACTGGAATACATTAGAGGTACTCATTTCATATTCTGTAGAAAAACTTATCATTTACAATTAATAGATAGCAGTAGCTAAAGATATGCCAATCAGAGTAAAGGATTTACAGGGAACTGAATACTCAATTCCTCTCTATGTTGGAGTAAGTATACATGTACATCTAATGAAGAAAAATCCATAATTATCTAATACATATAAAATCAAGAGCTGTGAAAACATGACTAATATCAATATATTGTAGGGAAACACTGTTCTTGAGCTCAAGAAGCAGCTTCAATCAAAATCAGGTATATCACAGCATAGACAGAGGCTGATATACAACAATGAGATACTGGAGAGCAATGGAACACCATTATCACATTATGGGATCACTGATGGTGCATGTCTTCAACTTGTGGTAATGGCAGGTTGGATTATAAGAATCAATAATTTAAACAATTCTGGACAAACAATAGAAGTATTCTTGAAAGGACATGACTGTGAAGTAAGCAATATACTCAACTTTGAAGTACAAAAGATCTTTTTCTCTCTGCAGAAAATGACAGTAATGGATTTGAAGAAGGAAATTGCCAAAATTCAAGGAGAAGCATTCATGAAATTAAATGAAATACGCCTCATGAAGAACAGCCAAGAACCAAGAGACATTACTACCTTGCGAGATGCCAAAATTTTCGATAATGACACACTATCAATGAAAAAGAAGCGCTTTCCACCAATGAATATCCTTGTAGCAGGATACAACGCAAAAACTCACAACATACTCA